TTTAGAGAAACTAAAGGGCAATAGGGATAAATGTCTCATGGATCTCAATTGAGAAAGATCTTTCTTAATACATAAGTGGTGAGATTAAACAGCAAATATTCTTCAACGTCCTATTTCACAAACACATTAAACATACACAAATGACAACTGGGAAAAATGCAAAAAAGCCATGAACTTTAGTATGTTTAGGAACTCTTAAAAATTAGTGACGTAGCTGGGCATAGTGACGCATGCTTGTAATTCAAGCAGCTTGGGAGGCTGAGGCAGGAGGATCACGAGTTCAAAGACAGCTTCAGCAACTTCGTTAGGCCATGGGCAACTCAATGAGACCCTGTCAATAAATAAAATATATTTTTAAATAAAGGGCTGGGGATGGGGGCTCAATGATTAAGCACCCCTGCCCTCCCCCCAAAAAAATCAGTGACATAATCTTCTCCATGCCTTCTTAAAATTGAGAATGAGGTAGGCTCGGTGGTGCATGCCTGTACTCTGGGGCTCAGGAGGCTGAGGCAGGAGGATCTCTAGTTCAAAGCCAGGCCTGGCAAAAGCGCGACTCTAAGCATAACAGTGAGACCTTGTCTCTAAATAAAAAAATAGGGCTGGGGATGTGGCTCAGTAGTCGAGGGCCTCTGAGTTCAATCCCTAGTACTCCCCCCACAAAAAAAATCAAGAATGAATAAAGTACATTAATAGAGAATTTATACTGTAAGTATCTATTCTGCATATAAAAAATGTCTTAGTAATCAGTGAAATGCCATGTTGCCTCAGTTGCACTTCTTTTGCCCACTAAAATTAGCAAAGATTAAAGAAATGTTAAAAAAAAAAGAGTTCTGAAGAATATATGTTCTTCCTTAGGTATCCGACATTAAGAAGGGAGAGTAAATTGATGTAAATTTTATGGAGAATTGACATTATAGGAAAAACTTCAAATTTTTATTTTTTAAATTATTTATCTAATTTCCAGGAATTTATCAGAAGGAAATAATCATGATTATATAAATTTTATGTATATTCCAATAAATATTGAGTATCTACCATTTGGCAGGTAATGTTCTAGGTTCTGTTGTGGTGACCAAGCCACAGGGTTCATATCCTAGTGGACCCTACAATTTTCAGAGACAAACACACTCATAAAGATTATAAAATGATTGACTTGATTCAACTCTATGAAGGAAATAGTTCAGGAAAATGTGGTAAATAACAATGAAGGGGACCTATGCTAGTGAGAGAAGGGAATAGGAAGGCAACTATCAAAATTCAACTGAATGCTCCACCATGTGCTGTGCTGTTCTATGGAGGTGGAATTCTTAGAAGCATTCAGCCAGAACCCACTGATGTTAATTTTGATTCAGTAGTTCATACACCAGATGTCTCACCTGTAGTTCCTCTTGAACTGTGAAGGATTAGATGGAAAGAATCCACCCATCAGCAGCTGATAAAACTAACCTGTTTCATGAAGTTAGACTCAGCAGTAGTGAGCAGACAGTCCAAGATAGGTAAATTAGGAAGGACCAAAAAGTGAAAATATTTGGCTGCCCAGAATCGGTTGTAACTGTTTCGACACCTCTTACTTTAATCCAAAAAGGTCAAAATGATTGGGAGGCTCCACTTTTCATTGTCTGTATTTATGCTGAAAAATCAAGATAAAGTGACTCTTAAACCTTCTGCTACCCCAGAGTTTTCTCTCTTTCCTGAGCTTGACTTAGACACCTGTGTTGCCCTTTGGGCAGGCACACTGGACCCAACCTTATCTCCCCCTGTGCAGGGAGAAAGGTAAGGTCTGTGCAGGTGACCTTGGGGCTTTGTACTCACTCTAAACCTGTCATAATTCTTCCTTATGCCAAATTACAATCACACCCAAAATGATTTTTTTTTTCTTTTTCCCCCAGACATTTTCTCTGAAGCCCATTCCCTGAGCTCTTGTTTCATTAGGACATTTGATGAGACATTTAGTTACCTTTAGAGGATAATACTTTGCTATTTGCTTACTTAAGTTGAATTTCTTCACCAGGACATTGAGAGTATTGGACAGAATTCACATTATGTCAGTACCTACTGTTGGTGTTTGTTTTAAATAAAGACTCCTGGTGCTATACTAGTTGGAGAGATGACATCTTGGTTTTAGTCACTGGCTGAACTATAATATGCAACGGATAGAGAAGTGTAGTTGAAGAGGTAGGCAGGTACCATATTGTGTGTGTGCCTTTTGTGCTGGGGGTGGGGAAGGGGAGGAAAAGAAAGAAATTTTGGGTATTTTCAAAATGTAATGGAAAGTAAGGAATAGTGTAGTCAGTCTTGTGTTTTAAAATGATACCACCTCTGGAGACTGAATTTGATGGGAGGAAGAACATGTGGAGGGGAACAGGAAGATTAGCCTTAAAAAGTAGTAGTTTGGTAGTAGCAGTGGAAATGTAGAAAAGTGGGTGGATTGGTGTGTGTGTGTGTGTGTGTGTGTGTGTGTGTGTAGAGATACAGTCATAGATATGGTCTTTGTATTTTGCATATGAGTTTAGAAGCCAAAGTACATTGAGGCTGTAGTCATAGATCAGATCCACCACATGTCACAGATAAGATTTCCTAAGAGGAAGAGGACTTACTTAGGACCAACTCCTTGGGGCAGTCAGTGTAGGGAGAGTAAGACTGAAGGAGTTGGAGAGGAACAACCACTAACAGAAGGATAGCATGGTTTCTTGGAAGTCAAGAGAAAAATATTTCCCAAACATGGTGTAACTTAAGAGTGTTATACTGCATATTTTTGAAGAAGGAAAGATAGAAACAGATCATATAATAAATAATGGGGGTTAATTAAATTGTTCAACTKCTGCTTACTTAGCCTGGCACAACTATTTCTGTGCTTTATTCAAGTTTCTGATCTAATATCAGTTCAATGAGACAGTTCCTGAAAATCTTAAGGTCTGTTTTTAGTATTTTAGATGCCATTGTTTATGCTTCATCATTATTATCAACTAAGAACAAACATTGCCAACTAAATGGGCATAATGTTAGAACATCTGTTATTTGTGAAATGAATACTGATTTTGGATTCTTGTGTGTGTGTGTGTGTGTGTGTGTTGCTGGGGATTGAATCAGGGCCTTATGGGTGTGAGACAAACAATCTACCAACTGATCTATATCCCTAGCCCCTGATTTTGGATTCTTAAAATGTAAAATATTGTAAATTGATAAAATAATGTAGCACTTCTCTCTTCCCTATATTTATTTGTCACCTAAAATATAAGCATCATGAAGACAGAGGCTTATTGTTTTCTGCTAATTCCTTGGTGCTTGTATCAGTGCCTAGTGAATTGTAGGCCCTGTGAACAAGTTCTGAATTTTAAGAAACTTAGACTATATTTCTATTTTTGTTTTCCTAAAAAAAACCTGCAGTTTTTCCTAGAAAAGACCAGGTCAAATGGTAAGAATTCAAGTAGATGCCAAAGCTAGCAAGTTTTGGGTTTGTACTTACATGTAGTATCTCAGTTCAGTGAGTTTATTCATTTTGGAATTTTAACCTCATTACTGATTAATTTTAATGACACCCTCTAGAAAAGGTATTTATTGACTTTAAAGATTAGGTAGGAATTTACAAAGGAAATATTTTGCTTCTCTAATTAGATGAAAAAGAATCAGTTATCCTACCATTTAATTGCCTTCATCATTTTTTTTATTTGACATTGGGAGCACTGGGCAGAAATCACACTGTGTCAGTACCTATTTTGAGTAATAGGAGTTTCTTGTAGAAAACTACAAAAAAGTTCTTAAATGTAATTTTGTAATTCAGAAGTAATTAGTAGTTTCATATATGTCTACTGAAAACATACACTTATAATCATGTTATTCTGTAGACTACTTTTTTTTTTTTCATTTTTTCCTCTTGGCCTTTATAGTCTTAAACAGTAAGATGTGTGACAGTTGAGTACTCTTTATCACATATGGCTAGAACATAAATAATTGTGTGTGTACCTGCATTCCAGACTTTGGAGTTTATGGTAATAAAGAGCCAGGGTGTGGACCTGGTTTATTCCCCGAGAAATTCAATTTTTATTTCTGCCTTTTTGATTCCTTGAGTATAAAATACTTAAGAGAATAGTCTGTGGACCAGAGACTTTCTAGTGCTTTAGTGGACCTGAAATATTTGCTTATTCTCCCTAGAGCATTACACATGGTAGAAAAAGTGGTTTCTGGTATACATCTCCTTCCCCTAGCAAGGTTAGTTTCTGAAGGGTGCCTAGGTACTCATTTTCCTAAGGTTTCTAAGGCTGATATGATCCTTTTTTTTTTTTCCTTTTTCTTTTTCTGGTGTGGTACTGGGGTTTGAAGCTAGGACTTCAGGCATGTTAGGCAAGCGCTTGTTTGCTAAGTTAATTCAAGAAATTTTTAAAACTTTTTATGTGAAGAAAAATAATGTTAACCTTGTGAGAGCAAATTTGGCCTTATGAAAAAATTGTGCAACATTTAAAAATATGAAAAGTAAGCACAATTCACAATAGCTAAACTGGAACCAACCTAGATGCCCTTCAATAGATGAATGGATAAAGAAACTGTGGTTATATACATAATGGAATATTACTCAGCATTAAAAGAAAATTATGGCATTTCCAGGTAAATGGGTGGAGTTGGAGAGTATCATGCTAAGCGAGGAAGCCAATCCCCCAAAACCAAAAGGCTGAATGTTCTCTCTGATAAGTGGATGTTGATCCATAATGTGGGGGGTGCTGTGGGGAGAATGGAGGTACTTTGATTAGGTCAAGGGGAGGGAGGGATGGGGAGGGAACAGAGAGGAAGGAAAGATGGTGGAATGAGGTGAACATCATTACCCTAGGTACACGTATGACTCCACATGTGGCGTGACTCTACATTGTGTACAACCAGAGAATTGAAAAGTTGTGCTCCATTTGTGTACAATGAATTGAAAAGCTTTCTGTTGTCATGTCATGTAATTAGAACTAATAAAAAATAAATTAAAAATATGAAAGTAAAACAACTCAATTTTTTTTTAGAAGTCAATGAAAGGATTCTATTTTGCGAAGCTGTACTACGAAGCTAAAGAATATGATCTTGCTAAAAAGTAAGTACCAAACTGTAGAACATAACTTTATTTTTTTATTTTTTATTTTTTTAAAGAGAGAGTGAGAGAGGAGGAAGAGAGAGAGAGAGAGAGAGAGAGAGAGAGAGAGAGAGAATTTTTAATATTTATTTTTTAGTTCTCGGCGGACACAGCATCTTTGTTGGTATGTGGTGCTGAGGATCGAACCCGGGCCGCACGCATGCCAGGCGAGCGCGCTACCGCTTGAGCCACATCCCCAGCCCAGAACATAACTTTAGTTTTCACATATCAGTGCCTTAATGCTTCATGTGGTTTGAAATAGGAAGAACTACTAGTAAACACAATATTTTTATCTAGGTGTTTCCCACAAGAAGATTCATCACTCATTTGAGCCTAGAATACCTCCTGCAGCTTGCTGTGTGTTTATATGTAGGATAAGAATTCATTTGGCTTAAAATACTTTTCTAAAAATTTGTCTTGAGTTAGAATAAAAGAGGACCATGTCAATGTCTTTATTTTTTTCCTGGTTAAATAGCTGGTATTTAATTGGTTGGAAAACAGCAATGAATACAAAATTAAACTCTGATTACAGAGCAGGAAAGGAGCTTGTGTAAAAATCTTTAATTGACTCGGGTGGTGTTCTGAGACTCTCTTCCACCCATAGTGAAAGAAACTTTGTGATTCTGATTTCCTAATGTGGAGCAACTGGAACCAGGAAGTTGGGAGGCAGGCTAGTTAAGCATTGATGGGAAGAGAATGCTGATAAGAAAGGAAGATGGTAGTATCAGCATTGGGACTATTAACCCTTGTTCCTTATTAATATGAGACTTTATCCTCTTAGTTTTCATGTTGGTTTAATTTTCATGGTAACACTGTTACTGGAACCTGGAAGATACTTACTTTTAAACTTGATTTAAGAAATGGAAATTATTTCTCTTTGGTAATATAGTTGATAATTTTCTTCTGTTCAGTTTTAGCTGAGTATAGTAGAAATTATTTTCATGTTTATAGGTACATACATTCTCTTAGTTTTTTTATTAGTTTATAGGATATATATATATTTTCTTAGTTGTTTGGGTAGTAGTTGTTAAATATTATCGTGATAACTTTAAAAATTATCATTATATTGACTTATTAATATGTAGAACTCTTCAGTGTGTTACCAAAATGTGATAAGAAGAAAAAGCAATTTGTTCATTTTATTTTTTTCATTTTTATAAGTATTTTTTTAGTTGTAGATGAACACAATACCTTTATTTATTTTTATGTGGTGCTGAGGATTGAACCCAGTGCCTTTCATGTGCAAGGCACACACTCTACCATTGAGCCACAACCCCAGCCCCAATTTGTTCATTTTTAGTTGTGGATGGACACAATATCTTTATTTTTATTCATTTATTTTTTAGTGAGTGCTAAGGATTGAACCCAGGGCCTCATGTGTGGGAAGCAAGCACTCTACCACTGAGCTACAACCCTAGCCCCCAGTTTGTTCATTTTTTATGTGTAGGAGTCACTAGAAAAAACATTTGGCATATGTGGTATTCAATGGTAACATGAATATTTTGTCAACTCTATATGTTTGTTTTCAGTATTTATTTATGTGAATACTTCTGTATTATCTGCATGTTCCACTTTGAGTAAATAATCGGAGTCAATAATTAACTAACAATAAAATAGTTTAATTATTGTTTTTGTTTAGAATGTACTTATTCTTCAGTTGTCACTTAAGTACAAATGTTAAGTTTAAAAATCTAGAGATTATTTACTTTTATATTTTTGTGTTACTATCTTAAAACAGATACATATCTACATATATTAATGTGCAAGAGAGGGATCCCAAAGCTCACAGATTTTTGGGTCTTCTCTATGAAGCTGAAGAAAACACAGACAAAGCTGTTGAATGTTATAAGGTAATTATAGTATAGCCAAACTTCATGATGCCTAGAGTAATTTATATTATGAATATTTAATAGATATTATGGATGTCATGAAAATAAGAATTGATACAATAGTACCTACCATCTTGGAATAGCTTTAAAATTATTTTGGCTAAAAGTACACTAATTTAACATCTATAAATTTTAATTTTGGCATGGTCAGAGATGATGTTTTGGTGATGTGTTTTTAAATTTGCTTGATAAAAGCATACTTTTTGTTTGATTAATTTCCATAAATATCCGGGCCACTTTTAATTTTATTGACTTTGAAATAACATGTTGTCATCTAGGAATAAAAATTTAAATGAATGTAATGATAACTTTTTAAATGTTTTTATGACACATACATATAATTCATTATTTACTAATGTATTGTTTCTTTTCTGATATCAGCGTTCAGTGGAATTAAATCCAACACAAAAAGAACTTGTGTTGAAGATTGCAGAATTACTTTGTAAAAATGATGTTACTGATGGAAGAGCAAAATACTGGGTTGAAAGAGCAGCTAAACTTTTCCCAGGAAGTCCTGCAATTTATAAGTTAAAGGTATAAAATTAAGCCAATCAAAATATGTAAAAGGAGAAAACTAAGGCAAAAACATGTCTAATATTTGGAGTTTAAGTTACTTTTTAATAGCAAACCTTGAAATGAGGAGGATGTATGTAAAAAAATTTTATTTAAAAAGAATCATTTTTTAAAACCTTAGCATCTACTCTCTTATTAGGCACTGTTATGCATTACAAGTGATAATCACATTTACCTTTCTGGAATATTAATATTTTAGAGATTTTTCAAGTTTTGTTTTGTTTTGTTTTTTTGGTATCGGGAATTGAACTCAGGGCCACTCAACCATGAGCCACATCCCCAACCCAATTTTGTATTTTATTTATTTAGAGACAGGGTCTCACTTCGTTGCTTAGTACCTTGCTAAGTTGCTGAGGCTGGCTTTGAACTAGCAATCTTCCTGTCTCAGCCCCCTGAGCTACTGGGATTACAGGTGTGCACCACTATGCCCCACGTAACACGTTTATGATAGAATTTTTAAAACTTTATTTTGAAATTGATTTCACAGTGATTAATACGGTTATGTAAAAATATGTAAATATGTATATAAATATTTATATATTTGTATATTTTTAAACATATAATCAATTGCCAGGGTTTGGGTTTGTTTGTTTCTCATTTGTTTACTTTTGGCAATTATGGAGAGACTGAGTACAAGTTTGTGAAAATGATCCAGAGATTGATGGAGGAGATGAATTAATGGAAGGCTTGGTTTTTGCTAAGTAGAGGGAACAGGGAGGAGATTAGGTTAGGTAAAATGGAATTTACATATGATTGCTTCATGTTTTCTCAGTGAAGGATAAATTGAGGTCCTTAGTTGAAAATTAGAGCTGAAAGAAGATGTAGGAAAGTTGAGATTCAAAGTGATCTATTTAGGGAATGGAGAAAATGAGTCTTTAGAGGTAAAATAGTATTTTGTTCTATGTCGTACCCATTTGAGGTTTAAGATTGAAATCAGATTACCCGAATTCCATATTTCATACACCCAGTTGTCAACTTGTAGTCTGTAGGTATAGAGTGAACAGTTGGTAGGATTTCTCTAAGGAAAGATAGAGGGACTTAGTTAAAGGGGTTTATAAGAAAGTAGTAATAATGAATACTAAGGGTTATTGCATTTTAGCTTATTATAGACAAGTAAACTCTCTCTCTGTGTGTGTGTGTGTGTGTGTGTGTGTGTGTGTGTGTATGGATAATTTAAACTTGATGATATCAGTGTACTGAAGGGAGTTTCTCACATGGCTAAGGAATATATATGTGACAGTGAGAATGCATGGGTCCCCAGGGAGGTGGAAGAATAAGAAAGGGAATGGCCTGAATAGTATGAACAGAATACAGGTTTAGAGGACCTGTATCAATGGCAAATGAATGGTTGAAGTTGAAATGAAGAACACTGTCATTGGATGTGAGGTGATTAAAGAACTGAGGAGCTAACTACTGTGTATCTTGTATATCTTTCAATTGCTAACGTCAATTACAGTTGTTAGGGATGAAGAGTAGTTTATTTTGGTTGCCCCAAATGAATTATTACAAAAATTGTGGGATGGGGTATGATTTGAAGGTGGCAGTGGAGGGTGAGTAGGCTAGGAGAGAAATCTGTTATGGCAGAGAGATGTTAGGGGATGTTTTGACATGGTATTCTGAATAATTAAGGCCTTGAGGTGAAGCAGGGCTTTGAGAAGATGATGAAGATAGAGAATAAGTGCTTGACTCAGACTAGGAGGTACAGAGTGGTTTGAAGACAAGGGTGGGGATCCACTGAGGAGGCCTAGGCTCCTCCTGGTGGCTGAGTTGTATAGCAGTATGAGGCAGTTTAGTCTTAGTATTCTCATTTTAGCACAGACAGCCACAGTTACTGTGGCAATTCTGAATGTTTCTGTCTATATAGTTCTCAAGTTTTAGCTTCTGGGAGCAATTCTTTGAAGGGACTCATAAGGTGTATAGGATGGTAGTTTTGATGGCACCTGGAAACCAGTAACAATAGAATGTTGTGCATGTCTAATGACTTGTTAAAAATCACACAGCTGTTACTTGGAATTAATTTTTTTCTCCCCCCAAATAGGAACAGCTTTTAGATTGTAAAGGTGAAGATGGATGGAATAAACTTTTTGACTTGATTCAGTCAGAACTTTATACAAGACCTGATGATGTCCATGTGAATATACGACTAGTGGAGCTGTATCGATCAAATAAAAGATTGAAGGATGCTGTGGCCCACTGTCATGAGGCAGAGAGGAGCATAGCTTTGCGTTCAAGTTTAGACTGGAATTTATGTGTGGTGCAGACCCTTACGGTATGTGAAAACATAAGTCTCTACATTTTTTTTTTACTTTTTGTGGTACTAGGGATTAAACTCAGGAGGGTTCTTCTGAACTACATCCCTGGGCATCCCTTCTTCACTTCCTTTTTCAAAAAGCTTTGGACCGGGTCTTGCCAAGTTGCCTCCACTTTCTAGTCCCACGGCCTCAGCTGCCTGAATAGCTAAAATTATAGGCGTGTGCCACTGTGCCTGGCTCTATACTTCTATATAGACAGCATATATTTCTTTGCACTTTAAACATCGCCTTTTAGCACTTAAATTTCTTTAATTTATGTAGGTCAACTATAAAATTGAATGTATACTTGATCATTTCAATTTATAATGGAATAAATATGACAAATACATTGTTTGCATTTTGATATATAAGATAGGTTTAAGAAGCAATATATTTTCAGAAATGTGATAGGAATGTGCCAAGGAATTTGTGAGAATAAATTATGGTCAATTTCTTAAAATTTGATAAAGATTTGTGAATTACGCTATATTGTTCTTCCTACAAAATAGGAATATCTGGAGTCTTTACAGTGTTTGGAATCTGATAAAAATGACTGGCGAGCGACCAATAAAGACTTACTTCTGGCTTATGCTAACCTTATGCTACTTACACTTTCCACCAGAGATGTTCAAGAAAGTAGAGAATTACTGGAAAGGTACATTGACTTTGAGACTATTTCAGCATAAATAGATTTTATTTTTGTAGTAATTGTTCCATTAGTCTAAACTTATTTATAGCATCATAATTTCTATGATGTAGGCAGGAATTAGAGTTAATACACTGTAACACTTGGAGGGAAAATTATTTTGACATCATTTATGGGGATAATTAGTTGTGTATAACTTTTATTTATTTTTGCCATACTGGGGCCTCATGCATGCTAGGCAAATGCTGTACACTGAACTACATCCTGAGCACTTTTTAATTTTGAATCAAGTTTTTGCTAAGTTGCTCATGTTGACCTCAAAATTGAATCTTCCCTTTAGCTTCCCAAATAACTGGGCTGACTTTGATTTTTAGAGAATTCTTGTAGTTCAGTTTTGATTAAAACTAGCCTTTTTCAGTTTTGGCATAAAGAGTCAAGCCTTAAAATGAATGTTCTGATTTACTACATTTTATTTTGTATAAATGGGACTTTATTATTATTTTTTTTTAATGTTAGGGATTGAACCCTGGGACCCTTAACCACTGAGCCACATACCTGGCCGTTTTTAAAAAAATTTTTTAGACATTGATGGACTTTTATTTTATTCATATATTTGTGGTGCTGAGAATCGAATCCAGTGCCTCACACATGCTAGGCAAGTGCTCTACCACTGAGCCACAACCCCAGCACCCCTTTTTAAATTTTTTATTTTAAGACAGGGTCTCACTAAGTTACTGAAAGTGGCTTTGAACTTGGATCATCCTATCTTAGCCTCTCAAACCGCTGGGATTACAGGCTTGCACCTGGCCACGAGTTCCTTTTATTTATTTATTTTTTATTTTTAGGTGGACACAATATCTTTATTTTATTTTTATGTGGTGCTGAGGATCAAACCCAGTGCCTCATACATGCAAGGAGAGTGCGCTACTACTTGAACCACATCCCCAGCCCCACTAGTTCCTTTTAACATCCTTCAGGGACTCCCAAAGATCTTCAGTTTATTTCTATCAGTGTTTATCATTAGAAATTAAAGCTGAGAACAAACAAAGTAGTGAGAAGAGTGCTATTGTTTTGCATTTTTGTAACCTCTGAAAATGTATGGCTTTATGGTACACAGGTAGATTCTCATAAACTTTGTTATTCAATCTGTTAAGCTTTGGAAAACTCAGCTATACATAACATGAGAAAATGAGAGTGAAAAAGACAAGAAATTCTTAGTATAATTTAAAAAGTAAGTTTAACCACATGGCTTCTATGAAGGGATCTTTGAGAACCTGTAGAAATTCCTAGACTTTACTTGAAATCCCTATTGCCTGATTTCCTTATTATAAATTACTTTAAAATTATGCTCTACCTTTAAGTGTGTGCTATTGCTTTTTTTACAAATTGAAGATTCTGAGGAGCATTTAGTCTTTAGAAACATTAATCAGGATATAGATTACAAATTATAAGAAATATAATTTATTTAAGTCTAGTTATCTAATACAGTAATGGCATTGATATTCAAATGTCTGTCAGTTACTATAATTTGAGACACACTTTTTTGTTGTTGTTGTTTTGTATTGCTGGGGATTGAACCCAGGGCCTTGTGCATTCAAGGCAGGCACTCTACCAACTGAGCTATATCCTGTGTACCATAATTTGAAAATGGCATGTCTAATTTGAGAAATTTCAACTTTGAATTAAATAATGAAACCATATAGATCCAGAAAAAACATTTTTATTAGAAAATAAATTTCCCAACTTTATCCTGGTTTATTATGAAGTACCTGTTATCACTAATCTTATTTGATTTGTATTTTTCAATAATTGTAGGTCAGAAAATAACTGTTTTGGAATAGATGTCATTCTAGAGGTTGAACTTTTAAAGTATAGGAAATATGCAGGATAAAAATAAGCATTAGATGCTTTATAACTTATAAAATAGAGAATAAGGATTATTAGGAGTCTGGGGAAGATGAGGCTTGACAAACTTTTATTAAATTTATTTTGAATTAAAAATGAAAATGATTATTCACAATTCAGTAGGTATAGACTACTGTTTAAATTTTAATATTGCAGGTTTGATAGTGCTCTTCAGTCTGTGAAATCCTCTGTAGGTGGAAATGATGAACTGTCAGTTACTTTCTTAGAAATGAAAGGACATTTCTACATGCATGCTGGTTCTCTGCTTTTGAAGATGGGTCAGCATAGTGATGTACAATGGCGAGCTCTCTCTGAGCTGGCAGCATTGTGCTATCTCATAGCATTTCAGGTAAGTTTTTTCCAGTTTTCTGAGTCTGGCAAAAAATAATTGACATTTCCATATGGAGTTGTGCCCTAATGAAAATATTTGAACATACTTATAAAATCAAAGTTAAAATGAAAATTCGTTTGACAGATTGAAAATAACAAGGTACACATATTACTGGTGAGCTTGGTGAATCAGGTGATGTTGACACATTGCTGTTGACAGTCTACTTTTCTGTGGTTTACTTAAAGACCAGTTTGAAGAGTTTGATCCTTTTACTCTGCCATTTCTGAGAACATATAATAAAGGCACAATTTCAGATATGGGTAAATTTTTATTTCAAAAGATACAAATAACAAAGAACCAACAAGTTAGCAAATTTGGGGATATGATTAAGGTATGATAAAAGGTTGTGATTATCGTCTTAACATGTTAATTGAAAAATGTAGACATAAAATATAACATATAACAAATATATATGATATATAATACTGTATTTATTTATCTTTGGAAACATGAAACTTTTTGTTATACCTAGAACAAGAAAGGAAGGAAATATGCCTTATATTTTTAGATGATGGGATGCTGGCTAAAATCCCTTTCCCAACATTCTTTTCTCATTTTAATGTTTTCTTTAATGAGCTCTTTTACTCTGAAATGAAAAGGAATAATTAGTCTTTCCAAAAAAGCATTAAATCTGGTTTATAAAAATGATGGTTAGGGGCCTGGGGTTATAGCTCAGTGGTTGAGCGCTTGCCTAGCATATGTGAGGCACTGGGTTCCATCCTCAGCACCATGTGAAAATAAATAAATAAAATAAAGGTCTATAGACAACTGAAAAATGTTTTTTAAAAATGATGGTTAGCATGAGAGGAGGATTATTATTGTTTGCTTAGGGGAGAAAAAAGATTAGTTTCTAGAGAAGGTTCCTCTAGTTCATGTTATAATTAATATATAGATCTTTTTATAAAATGTGGTTGATACTTACAGTGTTATGTACTACTTAATAGAAGCTTTTAGATTCATGAGGAATGTATTAAGTACTGAAAATGAGTATGAAAATGTTGAGGTTTGCTAATATATATAAATATTCAAAGCTCATTTATTTCTATTTTTGGTACTGGGGATTCAACCCAGGTGCACTTAACCATTGAGCCACATCCCCAGCCCAGCCTTTTTTATATTATTTTGAGATAGGGTCTCACTAAGTTGCTTAGGCCTTGCTAAGTTGCTGAGATGGTCTTTGAACTTTCAGTCTTTCTGCCTTGCCTCCTAAACCTCTGGGATTACAGGCTGCACCACTGTGCCTGACTTGAATGTGCTTTTATTAGAAATTTTCTAGAAGCTCTCTTTGTATGTATCTCTTACTGATTATAAATTCCTTGTTCTCAGTTTTTTTAAAAAAAATATTTATTTTTTAGTTTTAGGTGGACACAGTATCTTTTTTTATTTTTATGTGGTGCTGAGAAACGAACCCATTGCCTCACGCATGCCAGGCGAGCATGCTACCACTTGAGCCACATCCCCAAACCCCTTGTTCTCAGTTTTTTGCCATGTTTTTCAGTGAATTCTACCTATTAATTGTTTGTTCATTATCAAAAAAAAGTATAGTATAATAGAAAGGAACATCTAACTATTTGGAATACAAGTACCATTGAAATAAGATTTTTAATTCACCAGGTCCCGAGACCAAAGATTAAATTAATAAAAGGAGAAACTGGACAGAATTTACTGGAAATGATGGCCCATGATCGTCTCAGCCAATCAGGTAATAATAATGTGTGTTTTTTGTTTTGTTTTGGTCCTGGGGATTGAACTCAGGGGCACTCAACCACTGAGCCATATCCACAGCCCTATTTTGTATTTTATTTAGAGACAGAGTCTCACTAAGCTGCTTAGTGCCTTGCTGTTGTTGAGACTGGCTTTGAACTCGAGATCCTGCTGCCTCAGCCTCCTAAGCTGCTGAGATTATAGGCGTGCACCCCATGCCTGGCTAATAGTAATGCTTTAACTGATTTAACTTTAAAAAGAAATTAGGGTACATCATATGTTATTTGTGTTCAGGAGACAATTTGTCATAATTTTACTTGTTTCTTTTTGCCATATAAGGATAATAAGTGTAGAGATTAAGTGTGATTATTCATTTGCTAGACATTTAATGCCAGCTGCTTATAAAATATTGCTTTAGGGGATGTAAACATGAAGATACGGATCTGTATCTTTTTTTGGAGGGGGGTACTGGGGATTGAACTCAGGGGACTTGACCACTGAACCACATCCCCATCCCTGTTTTGTATTTTATTTAGAGACAGGGTCTCACTGAGTTGCTTAGCACCTCGCTATTACTGAGGCTGACTTTGAACTTGGGATCCTCCTGCGTTGTGGGATTACAGGTGTGTGCCACTGTGCCTGGCTGGATCTGTATCTTAAAGGGCTGAGAACATAATGAGGAAGCTAAAATAAAAAGAAATATACTCATATTTTCTTAGGCTCTGAGAATTTATAGATTTATTCCCATTTTGGCTGTTTGAGTAGATACAAATGTCTCTACATACATATTTTTTTTTGTTTTTTGTTTTTTTGCCAAGGCACAAACTTCAAGGTATATTAGGGGGGTAATGAAGAAGCATCAGTTTTACCAGAGGGAACATTTTTTTAATATATTAAAAATTTTGAATTTTTAGTTGTAGATGAATATAAATATCTTTATTTTTATGTGGTGCTAAGGATTGAACCCCAGTGCCTCACACATGTGAGGCAAGTGCTCTGCTACTGAGCTATAACTTCAGCCTCCCATAGGGAGCAGTTATTTCAATGGTACTTGTATTCCAAATAGTTAGATGTTCCTTTCTATTATACTATACTTTTTTTGATAATGGTTGGAAGTTGCTCTCATTTACCCCAACCCCACAGCCATAAACAATCTGTTTCTGTCTCTTTCCATTTGCCCATGGAAAAAATCAAGGGAACTTTGTAAAGAGCAAGAAGTAATATTAAATCAAAGTCATCATGAGCTTGGTCTGTATTGAAGCTTTCAGTAAAAACTTGTATTTCTCTATCCCACAACCGAGTTTTTTGGTGGGCTTTTTGTTGGGCATTAGATTCTGTCCTTGAAGTGACTTTTCACTTTTTTGTGCTTTGTTTTTCTTCTACCTTTGCAAGGTTAGAATCAATTGTATTTTTTGTTTATGAGCATTCAAGTTTATTGAGACAACAACCATCAGCAGAATTAACACCAAGGAGGGTGGTGGTTGTCTGTTTTGCTTTGGTTTGGTTTTGGACAACTTAATTGAGATATAATTCATATACTGTACAATTCACCTGTTCAAAGTATAATTTCAGTGCTTTTAAGTATGGTCTAAGAGATATGCAACTTTCATCATAGTTAATTTTAGAACATTTTCATCACCCCATACAGAAACCCCATACCTGTTGGAAGTTGCCCTCATTTACCCCAACCCTCAGAGCCATAAACAATCATTAATCTGTTTCTGTCTCTTTCCATTTGCCCATTCTGATTATTTCATATACATGGAATTGTGTGTTGTGTTTTTTTTTTGGGGGGTGACTGGCTTATTTGGCTATGCATATTTTCGCAGTTAATCCATGTTGCAGCATGTATCCAAGGAGTGTTTTTAAATAGATTCTCTACTCAGAACTTTTGAAATGAGAACATTTCTGGTACTGGGTCCTGAAAAGAAATATTTTAAGAGGAGGATTCTGGTTAGCAGGTATAGAAATCAGCATATCAAATCAGGATTAGAGCTTGGCCCTACTTCTTGTCCTGTGGCCACTTAATTCCTGTACTTTTTATCTAAAGTGCAAATACTTTGGGTATTTTCTGCACACATTTTAAAATTTTTTTTCCCTTTCCTTTTATTCTTTATGTAGACACTATTTATTAAACTTTAACTGTTCATTTTCTACATAAGCACCCTTTTTATTGTCCTGCTATTGTTTTGGGTTGGAAGGTGAGATCTGAGATAACTGTTTTATTTCCTCCTTGGGTATATGAATGAAACATTGAGATCTTTGAGTAAATATAGCATGCTATTCATCATAAAATGGTGAAAATAACTTAATTTGTTTTTCAGGGCACATGTTGCTGAATTTAAGTCGTGGCAAGCAAGATTTTTTAAAGGAGGTTGTGGAGTCTTTTGCCAATAAAAGTGGACAGTCTGCCTTGTATGATGCTCTGTTTTCTAGTCAATCACCTAAGGAGAGATCTTTCCTTGGTAATGATGATATTGGAAACATTGATGTACAAACTCCAGAGCCTGCTGATTTGGCTAGATATGATGTTGGTGAGTTTTATCTTTCATAGACAATCTTCTGCATCTTATTCTTTATATATTAGGAGGAAAGTAAATTACCCATAATATCCTTACCCAGAAATAATGACTTTAGTTTTTTGTTGTTGTTGTTGTTAGGGGTTGGAGGGTATGGATATGGGTGGCATGGGTAAATAGTTTACATATGCTACTTGTGTTGCTTATTTCATGAATTTTTTCCCATAGTATCTAATGTTAAAACTTTAATATTTTTAATGGCAGCATAATCTTTTATGAGTTTTATTTTGCTTAATACTTTGTATTGTTGGGCATCTGAGTTACCTCCAGTTTATTTTTACTTTTGAAAATAATGCTGTTGGGCTGGGGATGTGGCTCAAGCGGTAGCGCGCTCGCCTGGCAGCCTGCGGCCCGGGTTCGATCCTCAGCACCACATACCAACAAAGATGTTGTGTCTGCCGAGAACTAAAAAATAAATATTAAAAAAAAAATGCTGTTATGATTACTTTAAAGTGTCTGCATTTTAAATTATTTCCATAGAAATTTCTAAAAACAAAATTCCTGAGACAAAAAGATGACCATCTTTACGTCTCATAAATTGCCAAAACGCTATATCTTCGTTCTTTTAGAAGCCCATCAACTTTTCAGTATTGAATTTCTTTTTTTAAAAATATTTTTTTAGTTGTAGTTGGACACAATACTTTTATGTATTTATTCTATGTGGTGCTGAGGATCAAACCCAGCACCTCACAGGTGCTAGGCGAGCGTTTTGCCCCTGAGCCAAAACCCAGCCCCAGTAGTGAATTTCTTGTAGAAGAAAAGATCTCTTTACTACACTACTGGATGAATATAGTAGTACTCATTGTAATAATTCTTTTTTTTTTTTTTTTTTGAGAGAGAGAGAGAGAATTTATTTATTTATTAATTTATTTATTTATTTAGTTTTTGGCGGACATAACATCGTTGTTTGTATGTGGTGCTGAGGATTGAACCCGGGCCGCACACATGCCAGGCGAGTGTGCTACCGCTTGAGCCACATCCCCAGCCCTGTAATAATTCTTTACTGGCGGGGGAATATGTTGTTTTAAGATTATTGATTAAATTGGCATTCTTTGGCCTCTGTCAGTAGACTTTGCTTTATTGTTTTATGGCAGGTCTGATTTTCTTAGCCTGGGAACTTCCTCATTCACAACTGGTTTATTAAAATTTTTAGTTATAGAGTATGAATGCATTTGATGAAGATCATGAGATTTTGCTGAGGACCAATTTCCCCACCATCTCTGATACAGAAAAGCAGTTTGTATTTAAGATACATTTTACATGAGTTGTTAAATTAGCTGTAAAACTAATGGCCTAAATAGAATTTCCAAAACTCAAGCCATTTGTTTTTTCCTTTTTTTTCAGGTGCTATTCGAGCACACAATGGTAGTCTTCAGCACCTTACTTGGCTTGGCTTGCAATGGAATTCACTGCCTGCTTTACCTGCAATTCGAAAATGGCTGAAACAGCTTTTTCATCATTTGCCTCAAGAAACCTCACGACTTGAAACAAATGCACCTGAATCAATATGTCTTTTAGATCTTGAAGTAAGCAAAGAATTTAACAAATTAAATATTTTAAGTTTTGTTTAATTTTTTCCTAATGGAAATTAATTTTTTTTTTTAAAAACAGGTATTTTTACTTGGAGTAATATATACCAGCCACTTACAATTAAAGGAGAAGTATAATTCTCACTGCAGCTCCTATCAGCCATTGTGCTTGCCACTTCCTGTGTGTAAACAACTTTGTACAGAAAGACAAAAATCTTGGTGGGATGCAGTCTGTAACCTAATTCACAGAAAGGCAATGTAAGTAATAAAACAAAGTTATTTTTTTTTAACTTCTTTTATTTCATTTATATTTAACTTGTAATATGACAGTTAACTTACATTTAAGTTTTCAGCTATGTGTTTTAAAGCAATTTTATTAAATAAAAGTTTTGTTTTAGACCTGGAACTTCAGCAAAATTACGACTTCTGGTTCAGCATGAAATTAACACTTTAAGAGCCCAGGAAAAACATGGCCTTCAACCTGCTCTGCTTGTGTACTGGGCAAAATGCCTTCAGAAAACAGTGAGTTACATTAAAGTGTAAACTTTTTTTTTTTTTTTTTTTTAAAAGAACATTGTCTTGGTGTTGGAGTCATGGCTCAGCAGTAGTGCGCTCGCCTCGTATGTGCAAGGCCCTGGGTTTGATCTTCAGTACCACATAAAAATAAATAAATTAATAAAATAAAGTTTAAAAAGTCTCCCAAGATTTTAAAAAAAAAAAATTGTCTTAGTTTTGAAAAACCAAGAATACTAGCTTGTTAATATTAGTGCCGGTTCAAGTGTTTTTAAATTTTGCTATAAATGAGTTAATGTAATTAAATAAACATAAGCACTTAGTATACCCATAGTATTGTTATTACTTAAAAATTAAGTCATGATTTTTGTGTGTGTGGGGGGGTGGTGATGGTTGGCAGTGCTGGGAATTGAACCCAGGGCCTTTTGCATGTGAAGCAAGCACTATACCAATTGAGCTATATCCTTAGCCCATATGTATTTTTTGTACCAGGGCTTGTATCCAGAGATGGTTTACCACTGAGCCACATCCCTCGCCATTTTTTATATTTTATTTAGAGATAGGGTCTCGCTGAGTTGCTTACGACCTCTTTAAATTGATAAGGCTGTTTAAACTCAAAATCCTCCTGCCTCTGCCTCCAGAGCTGCTGGGATTACAGGTGTGTGCCATGCTTGGCAAGTTATGATAGTTATTATCCAGCTTGTAAATCCATAGCTTGTAAATTATCCAGCTTGTAAATTGGGTAGCTTAAGTCTTTGTAGGTAAGGCATTATAGATCTTTTTAATTATTTGAGGTCTTTTCTCTGTCAAGAGTGGATATAGATGCTAGTTCTTTGACCAAACTCTGGACACTTTTAGTTTGATTTTGGCTACCTAAAAATGATAATTCTTAAAAATAGAGTAGGCTGTCTCATTTGGTAGTATCACTAAAAAGTGTTTAAAAGTCTATAGGGTATGGTGACACTTGCCTGTAATCCCAGCAGGGGTTTGAAGGCTGAGGCAGGAGGATTACAAATACAAAACCAGCACCAGCAGTTTATCGAGGTCCTAATAAGCAACTCAGTGAGATCCTGTCCCAAAATAAAAAACTAAAATGGCTGGGGATGTGACTCAGTGATTTGATTAAGTGTCCCCAGGTTCAGTTAGTACCAAAAGAAAGAAAAAGGCTTAATCTTAATATTGGACTATTCTCTGGTATTACAGTGATGATGAATTATTTTCTTATTTGGGAAGTTACTCAAATGAATGACTAAAAATTTTTACATAAAAATTTTCACTAGTTCTTAGGATTTGTAAATGAATATTTAGATTTGGTCATATGTATTTGTTAAGGTTGTATGCTTCTGTGTTCCTGTTTTAGGGCAGCAGTCTTAATTCTTTTTATGATCAACGGGAATACATAAGCAGAAGTGTTCATTATTGGAAGAAAGTTATACCATTGTTGAAGACAATCAAAAAGAAAAGCAGTATTCCTGAACCTACTGATCCTTTGTTTAAACATTTTCATAGTGCAGACATTCAGGTAACTGAGAATCTCCTGGCAAATTAACTGTTTGCAGTTGATAAAGAAATAAGAGATTTTAACTGCTTAAATACATTGCCTTGCTGTTAAATGATATGTTTGTTTTCATAATCCACTAGCTGACATAAATATCACATGAAAGATTAATGAGATCATTTAGGTTTGATATGCTGAATAGAAGCAGTTTGACTAAAAACTACTAAATGATTTAGGCATCTGAAGTTGGTGAATATGAAGAAGATGCACATATAACTTTTGCTATATTGGATGTGGTTAATGGAAATATAGAAGATGCTCTGACTGCCTTTGAATCTATAAAAAGTGTTGTTTCTTACTGGAATCTTGCACTGGTAAGTAAATGTACTTGAATTAAGAGGGGTTTTTTTGTTTGTTTGTTTAAAAAGTCTGATTGTTTCATAAAACCACTGTTTATATAGATTTTTCACAGGAAAGCAGAAGACATTGAAAATGATTCCCTTTCTCCTGAAGAACAAGAAGAATGCAAAAATTATCTGCGAAAGACCAGGGACTACCTAATAAAGATTTTAGATGACAGTGATTCAAATCTTTCAGTGGTCCAGAAAGTAAGTTGGTGCTTGTTATCTGTAATTTAATAATATTGATAAGTGGATAATGGCTTTTTTGCCTTAGTTTTATATTTTGGTAATTCCCAAATCATCTTGTCATTGGTGTACAGAGGTAGTGTGTGAGTATAGATGCTTAATTCACTTGTCTTTTTCTTAGGTTGGGTATTTTTTTTTTTTTAACTTGGTAATGTGTATATATATATACTCATAGGAAAGTAGTTGGGAAAGTTGAAAAAAATTTTTTAAACTTTATTTATTTATTTATTTAGTTGTTGTAGTTGGACACAATATCTTTATTTTACTTATTTTTTAATGTGGTGCTGAGATTGAACCCGGCGCCTCACATGTGCTGGGCAAGTGCTCTACCACTGAGCCACAACCCCAGCCCCTTGAAAAAAATTTTAAGGTAGACATTTATTAATTTTGGTTTTTTTTAGCAGTATAATCAAAACAAATATTGTAACCTCAGGACTAGTTCCTAATAAATTTTGCTTAAATGAGAAATTTTAGAATATTTATTTTTTTCTTTGTCATCTGCTATGAACTATTCTTGTTTTCTCGCTGTCAGCAGTGGAGACTGTGGTGATAGAATTCAGTTATGTTCAGATTTTCTTCTAAGTATTTTGTTACATACTTGGTGTTGCTGTTTAGATTAGTGCTTATGTTATCTGGTGCGTTCCAGCATACGTATTTCTCTTTCTGTTCTAATCATTTAAGGAAAATCAGGAACTTATTTACTTTGTTCATGTGGAAAATCTTGAGGTTTATAGTTCTCTACTGTTATTATGACTTACGGAAGTAATAGAAAAAGTATGGACTTGAAAATCAGAAGATTTAAGATAATATGACACTTTCACATTTATCATTATTTAAAGTATAAAGTGCTTGTTAAAAATTGAAAATTTAAACATTATTAAGGTAGAGTCTTTATATTTGTTTTAGAGATATTAATTTGGTAGTTTTGCTAACTAAACCCTTGACTAATAATGCCTTTTGTTTTTAGTTGCCTGTGCCACTGGAGTCTGTAAAAGAGATGCTTAACTCAGTAATGCAGGAACTTGAAGATTATAGTGATGGAGGTCCTCTTTATAAAAATGGTTGTTTGCGAAATGCAGATTCAGAAATAAAACATTCTACACCATCTCCCACAAAATATTCTCTATCACCAAGTAAAAGTTACAAGGCAAGTAGGAAGGAAATGAGTCACTCTAGTGGGGAATATGCTGCTTCTTTTCTAAATATTGCAAATACTGTTATGTTGTTTGTTTTTTAGTATTCTCCCAAAACACCTCCTCGATGGGCAGAAGATCAAAACTCTCTATTGAAAATGATCTGCCAACAAGTAGAGGCCATTAAGGTAAATCACTTAATTTCTTTAACTACTTATTCCTATATTTCTTCCCTGACTACTTCCTCACTTTCTAAGGTTGCTCAGAATGTTCCCCTTACCATACTACTATGAAATCATACTGTTTTACACACCTTTGTCTTGACCCTTACCATAGTTTTTGAAATTACTTTTGTCTCTGACCCTTCCATGAAACCGACGTTCTTAAAAAATAGTCTATCCTCTGATCCTTGACAGAGGTGCCAAAAACCTACATTGGAGAAAAGATAGCCTTTTTAATAAATGGTGCTGGGAAAACTGGTTTTCCATATGTAGAAGAATGAAGCAAGACCCTTATCTCTCACTCTGCAGAAAAATCAACTCAAAATGGATCAAAAACCTCAGAATTATATCAGAAAGTATACAACTCCTGGAAGAAAACATAGGGTCAGCACTTTAGCTTTTAGGCACAGGCAGTGACTTTCTCAGTAGGATCCCTAAATCTTAGGAAATAATGCCTAGAATTAATAAATGGGACATATCAAAAAGCTTCTGCACAGCAAAGGGAACAATTAGGAATACGAAAAGAGAATCTATAGAATGTGTGAAAATCTTTGCTAGTTACTCTTCTGTCAGAGGATTAATATCTATAATATATAAAGGTCTCACGAAACTTTACACATACACACACACACACACACACACACACACAAATCCTATTAATAAATGAGTAAATGAATTAAACAAAAAGAAATACAGATGGCCAACAAATACATGAAAAAATGTTCAGTATCATTAGCGATTAGGGAAGTTTGAATCAAAACTACACTGTAGGGCCAGGGTTGTGGCTTGGTGGTAGAGCGCTTGCCTAACTTGTGTGAGGCACTGGGTTTAATCCTTGGCACCACATGTGTCTATCTACAGAAAAAAAATGTTAAAAAAAAAAACAACTTGATTTTTATCTCATGCCAGACAGAATGACTGGCATTAAGAGAGAATGTAGAGAAAAAGGAATACTTTACACTTTTGGTGGGACTGTAAATTAATACTACTACTGTGGAAATCAGTGTGGAGGCATGGAACCACCATATGCCTGAGATACACCACTTCTCATTATTTACTCTGAAGAAATTAAAGGCATTTTACTGCAATAATACATGCATACCCATGTTTATAGCATCACAATTCAAACTATGGAACCAGACCAGATGAGGTGTCCATCAATAGATGAATGGATAAAGAAAATGTGATACACACACACACACACACACACACACACACACACTCACACACTGGAGTTTTATTCAGACATAACAAAAATGAAACTGCCATTTGCAGGAAAATGGATGGAACTAGAGGCCATCATGTTATGCTTAATAAGTAAAATTCAGAAGGTCGAGGGTCATAGGTTCTCTCATATGTGGAAGCTAAAGAGGGAAAACGGAAAACAAAGTTGAGGATGGATCTCCTAAAAATCAAAGGGAGATTAGTAGAGGAAAGAGACCCAAGGGCTGGAAGGTGGGGGAATGCTGAGGAGCAATATGTTATATTGTTATATTGTGTGCATGTATGAATATAAAACAAATCCCATTAATATGTCCAACTCTAATGTACAAATAAAAAATACAGAAGGAAAAAAATAGAGACTGTTGTTGGATATGGTGATGCATACCTGTGCTACCCAGGAAATTAAGTTAGTAAAACTAGAAGTTCAAAGCAGGCCTGGAGAACTTTGTGAGAACCTATCTCAAAATAAAAAGGACTCTGGGATATAGCTATCCCCAATACTGCCATAAGCAGAGACTGTTTTATTCAAAACATACCATGATTCCTGGCATGAAGGTTCCTAAATGATCAAATCAAACTACTGAAATATACTAATTATACTTTGTTCTATGAATTAATTTCTCAAATTGGCCGTGAATGAGGTTTGGGTCAAATTTATAGTTAGGAATTGAAAAGTGGTCTTTAAGCTTCTGAAAGTTTTATTTATTTATTTATTTTTAAATATTTTGTACTTATACCTGGACACAATGTCTTTATTTTGTTTGTTTATTTTTATGTGGTGCTGAGAATCTAACCCATAGCCTCACATGTATGGGGCAAGTGCTCTGTTACTGAGCCGCAACCCCAGCCCTGCTTTTGAAAGTTTTTATCTTTAAAAAAAAAACTTTTTTTGTACTTGAAGATGGACAGCATACCTTTATTTATTTTTGTATGTGATGCTAAGATCAAACCCAGTGCCTCACACATGCTAGGCAAGCGCTCTGCCACTGAGTCACAAGTTTTTATCTTTTTAAGTACTTTCATATGAATTTGGCTTTATTATGTAAGGAATTCAATTTTATATCATAGCCCTCAAAGAGGCTTTAGTTCTTTGGAATTGCCGTTACTAGTAGATTTTTTTTACACTCTCATTGGACAAGAAGCTAGTAGACTCTGCCACTACTTAATAATGATCTTGGGGGGGGCCTGAGTTTGTGGCTCAGTGGTAGCATGCTCGCCTAGCACGCATGAGGCACTGGGTTTGATCCTCAGCACCACATGAAAATAAAGACAATAAAGTCCATCAACAACTAAAAAAAAAAAAAAAAGATCTTGGGCCAGTCCCTTATTTTAGTCTGTTCGGCTTCTCATTTGAAAAGTGAAATCAGGTTAAAATCAGGTCCAATCACGTTTTCCATTTCATTGAATTTTTAGAACTATGATTATAGCTTGGATTGCAAATTAAAAACTATGGACCAGAGACCATTAGTGACTAAGTTTTCCGGTCAATTCTACCAGTTTCTGACTCTTTTAAAAAAAACATATCTATCTATCTATTATTTGTTGATAGGACTTTATTTTATTCATTTATTTATTTATGGTGCTAAGAATCTAACCCAGTACCTTACACATGCTAGGCAAGCGCTCTGTCACTGAGCCATAACCCCAGCCCAGTTTCTTACTCTTGAATGTGCAATATCTCAAATAGGTACATAGATGAATAAATGAGGAAACTGTTATTTAGCTTGAAGTATTTAGATTTAAGTATGTTTGTCCTGGCATTGGTTCCTGCATGATATTGTTAAATGTTTAAAATTACTTGTTTTTTTTCCTTCCAATAGAAAGAAATGCAGGAGTTGAAACTAAATAGCAGTTTAAATAGAGTTGAAACTAAATATGGCTTTCTGAGAAATTTTTGTTTCTGACGCTTCTTTTAGAAGACCATACTATAAATCTAGACAAAGAAATCTAGACAGACGTGCTAGATTTGTTTCTTACCTTGCTTATTGTAACTGATCTGATTCCTGGGCTAAGAGAAGTTTGAAACTTAAAAATTCAACCTGTTTGAATACCCCAATATAGTTTTTTTTTTTTTTTTAAAGAAACAATTTCTTGATAAATGCCAATTTTATAAAGGGACATTTTGTGGATTCTGGGGTTAGGTAAGTTGTCATCATTTAGTTGTTTATAAAGTAACAAATTGGATAGTTTGCACATAGCTATATTAGAAAACAATATAACTGCTATCTTGTCTAGGCAGTAGAGTGGTATTAAAAAACATTTTTTGGATTTAGATGTGGATCAAACTCTAGCTGTGTCATTTCTTGCATCTGTTTCTCACTTTAAGGTATGAGTTATACTGTCCATCTAAAAGTGTGTTAGCATTAATTCAGAAGTACAGAGCCTGGAACGTATATAACTAAGTTCTGGACAAGTACAGTTCTTTTTTGCTGATGGGGCATTTGAGCTTCACCTTGAAAATTACTGTTAGTTTGTTATATCATATGACAGTATGTATCAAGAATTGAGTTTTTTTTTGGTGTTGAGTAGTCCATATAGATCAAAGAATACAGCAGCATGGAAAGGAGACTGTGGCCAGGATGCTTAGGTTGAAACTACTTGAGGACCATGAATGTCAGAGAAAGAAGTTTATTTTGTTTATTTTGAGTCAGGAAGTGTCTTGGCTGGGGCTCAACTTTACAAAGATTAATGTAGGCAAGTGTGGAAGGAAAGTGGATATGAGATAATTTAGGTAGTTATTTAGTTTTTTAGGTTAGAGTGAATGAATTAGGTAGGTGGAATTAAGGAGTGAAAGAATGGGAATGGATAAATTTTAACAAATTAAGAATCATGTTCTTGTTATCCAGATTTCATTAGTATCTCTTAAAAGATATCAGTGTTTTTTAAAATATTTATTTTTTTAGCTATAGGTGGACACGATATCTTTATTTTATTTTTATGTGGTGTTGAGAATCGAACCCGGTGCCTCATGCATGGTAGGTGAGCACTCTACCTGTGAGCCACAACCCAGCCCTGGTATCATCAGTTTTTAGATATAAGTATTGTGTTTGTCCTGGCATTGTGTCTTGTATTATATTGTTAAATGTTTAAAATTACTTCCTTTTTTTCCTTCCAATAGAAAGAAATGCAGGAGTTGAAACTAAATAGCAGTAACTCAGCATCCCCTCATCGGTGGCCCGCAGAGAATTATGGACCAGATCCAGTGCCTGATGGGTATCAAGGATCACAGACTTTTCATGGGGCTCCATTAACAGGTGAACTGGCAACTGAATAATCTCCAGATTTTAGTAAGGTTACCCACTCACCCCCACCCCCTTTTTTTGTGCAGTGCTGGGAATTAAAGTGAGGGCCTCTTGCATGTATACTCTGTCTCTGAGCTGTATTCCTAGGCTCTTTTTCATTTAAATAGATAAATTATGAAATCAGCTTATCTGTAGTTTGATATACATGTCAGTTATATGATTACTTATAATTACTTAAAAATCTATATTTGATATTACTGAGAATTTATAACTCGAAGCAAAAAATCAAGCTTTATCTGATTCCATGTCTGTCAAGGCTTAAAGAACCCTTTAATGTATATCTTAGATGAGCTGAATCTTAGGTGGAATTATTCCTTAAATTGAGAATTGTTAACAGATATAATTATGCACCAAGAGGTATCTAATTAAGAACTTAAACCTCTTGGGAGTATTTTGATAATCTAAAGAGAGGCAGAACATTAATACAGAATTTAATTTGAAATACCATGCACAGAAAAAAAAGGAGTTTGGAGCTAAACCATGTTTGGTTTTTTAGTTGTTCTTTGTCACTTATTAGCTGTGTAAGTAAACCTGGAGATAATACTTGCCTCTATAATTACTATGAGCATTTGTATATGTGCAGGTAGGTATGGGAATTTCTTTGGCATTTATACAATATATAGCAAATACCAAATGAATCAAGATTACTAATTGTACTTAACTGTGATTTGGCTATGTGCAAAAGTGCTTTTTTAAAAATTTTATTTATTTACAATAACTCAGTGGTAGGTACCATTATTAATCCCAACTTAATAGATGAAGAAGTGAGTGTAGAAAGATAGGTAACTTATTTATCAGTTACTGATGGAGCTGTAATCCAAACTATAAGTTATCTGACTCAAAGCGACTTGCCAATATGATACATTGGCTCCAGGCAGCCAGAAATGTGAATAAAAATAGATTTCTTTTACTTGAGACAAATTTCCCAAATGCTGTAGATTGAGCACACCATTCCAAATATCTGAATCTTAAAAACCCCAAAATCTGAAACTTTTTTTTGCATGCCAGTTTATAAATGAAAATCCTACATCTGACCTAATGTGCAGGTTGCAGTCAGAATATAGTTGCATTAAAAATATTATATAAAATAATTTACAGTGTATGTATGTAAGGTATATATGAAACATGAGTGAATTTCATGTTTAGACTTGGGCTCCATTCCCAAGACATCCCATTATGTGTATGCAAATATTCTAAAATCTGAAAACACTTCTTTCTAAGCCCAAACATTTTGGATAAGGGATACTCAACCGATAGTAATGCATGTATTTTTTTTTTTCCTACTTGCTTTTAACCCAGGAATGATTTAGAATAAGCAGATTTAGTTTAGATTATTAGTACATTTGTGTGATGGCCCATAGTACGGCAACCCCATTGTATCCTCTTAGGACAGTGTCTTCTAAAGGCAAGCAAATAATAGAAAATCCTGTGAAGGCAAACTTACCAAATGTCGTAGTGAAAGATAAGTATATGAGATGTTTAGACCTCAGACTTTGCTCACTTAAAATCCTTGTGCATTGTCTAGAGCCTTGTACAGTGAGAATAAAAAGACTGGTTAACCTTTTGTTTTTAAAAGTGTTATGGGCAGTGTCACTTGGTACCTTGTGGGTCACAACTATTTCTTTCATGTGTAGCTTTAAAAGGTCTTTTGGTTTTATAAGTATATAAACACAACATTCACGCTGTTTTATTCTTATAATGACCCTATGAAGTGTGAAGTAATACATCCTCATTTTACAGCTGAGGAAGATAAAGACTCAAGTGGCTTATTGACAGGTTCACAAAGTAACTTTGTGGCATGGAAAGGGAGAGAGCCCAGGTCTTCTAATTTCTATTCCTGTGTTCATAGACATTTTTTCCTCAACAAAAGTAAAAATATACCAAGATGGTTCTTGTCTTTCAAAAGTAAGATGATAAAAAAAAGATGAATAAGCTTATTAGGAAATATTAAGAAGTACTGAACAGTGTAAACTAAAAACTACCTTCCTATCAGAATCCTATTATTATTTTGGAGAATTTCTGTTTCTTTGTTTACATAAAGTATGTTTTATGACTGTTGTTATGTCATGTATAGATGAGTTTGCCAGCTTTTTAAATGTTACTTTAAGTTTCAAGCATTTTTAAAAAGTATTACTTGAAAATACTACTAATGAGTATGTGGTATCTCCTCATGTAGAAGTATTGCAAATTCTGTTTCTTTATTTGTGTTTCTAGTTTGTGCTATCACAAATAATGCTGTGGACACATTCTAGAATTGTTGGCTGTTTTAAAAATTCAGTTTTTGCTCTTATTAGAAGTATCTCAGATGGGCTGGGGTTGTGGCTCAGTGGTAGAGCGCATTTCTAGCCCGTGTGAGACCTGGGTTCGATCCTCAGCACCACATAAAAATAAATAAACAAATAAAGGTGTTGTGTCCAACTACAACTAAAAAATAAATATTAAAAAAAGAACTATCTCATAGTGTCCATTTATGCACTCTGTTAACAATTTACAGAAACTTTTTGTTAGTTTGTAAAAGCAAAAATGACATCATTTTTAAAGTTTTTTAAAAATGTCATTCTCAACATAATCTCATTTCTTTCTTTCCTGAGTTACCTGTTCATGTAGTGATTTTTTTTTTTTTTTGTAGTAGATAATTTTTAGTAGATTATAAGAACTCTGTTTTTCCCACTGAGGTGTAGTGGTCATTGATAAAGTCTCTGTAGTTAAACTGCAGACTTTTAGGATTCTTGGCATATATTTATTACCTTGTTGTATTCCTGTTTCCTCCTCCTCAAAATAGGTCCAAAATAACTGCCTTTACCAGGTAGTTCCATTAGGTTTACAGATTCAAACGTGGGCTTCTGAATAGCCCTTTGTAGGTCTTTTTCAGTGCTTTCTGAATCAATTGCTTGGCACCTCTAGAGTCACAATTTCTCCTTCTTCTTTCACAAATAGCCATAAAGGTGTTTTGCTTGTTTGATTTTCTGGTAAAACTGTTAAAACAGATCAAACACAGGAATGTCGTTGTGTATAATATGAGTGCCTTTTAGTTTGGTTTCCTGTAAAACTCACAAAATAGATGGAGCAAATAGTTTGCATATGAACATGAGTGTTTTTAATGTGTTTATTAGTATTTTAAGCAAAGGAACATTTTATATTACTTTTGAGATCCCTTTCATGAATTTGTTAGGTTATTTTAGTTGGTAATAGCTTGACTGTACAAAATGCAGCCTTGTCATTCTGCAGATTTTTGAGGCTTCCTTCAGTATTATAGCCTTTGAAGCCATCAGATGCAATTTGGTTTCTAACTCCTTTCAGCTGTTGTATTTGCAGTATTTCTATGTTGATCCTGCTATTCCTTTTTGGATACCTATTTGTGGTACTGAGGATTGAACCCAGGGACTTGTACGTAAGCACTCTACCAACTGAGCTATATCCCCAGCCCTTAAGCACTTGTTCTTGTTGGTCAAATTCGTGCTATATTCCGCTGCTTATTCTTTGTGTCACTTCTTGGACCCTCCCTCCCCCCCTTTTTGTGGTACTAGGATTGAACTCAGGAGTACTTTACCACTGGACTATATCCCAAGTCCTTCTTAAATTTGCTTGCTTGTTTGGTTTTTGAGAAAGGACCTCACTCTTGCTTCAGTCTTCCGAGTTGCTGGGATTACTGGCACAGTATATACCTCACCCTGTTCTAGCAGTTTTTTTCCTAGTTTGATAATCTAGTTTGATAATCTTTATGGTGTATTTTGATATATAGAAATTAAAAAAATCTATCTAGCTAATTCTTTCTTTGGTTTCTATTACTTTTATATTTGTAGTTCTTATTTAGGTAGTCTAAACTGTAGTATAGACTTTAACAGTGTTTTCTTTTTTTTTTTTTTTCCTTTTTTTTTTTTTTTTAGTTGCAACTACTGGCCCTTCAGTATATTATAGTCAGTCACCAGCATATAATTCCCAGTATCTTCTCAGACCAGCAGCTAATGTTACTCCCACAAAGGTAACAAAGGAATAATTTATATATTTGTAACTATTTGTTTTTTTAATTGTTTAGGTGTTTTTTTCAAGAAATTCAAGGGACTAGTTTAGTATTAAAGCTTACAGTATCCCTCAGGATATGGACATTTTACATTTCTTTCTAGATACAGAAGTTATGCTTTTTGTCACGTTATTTTTGTGACATAACAATAAGTGTGAATATTTTGGATATTTTTAAAATGGGAGTGGTGATGTTGTTGGGTCCTTTATCTGTTTTGACAGAAATAGGACTAGAAATGTCCTTACTCTACCACTGTGTGGTAAGTAGTTCTATACTTGATGTGGTTATATAACTCTTGGTTAAGACCCAATATTACAGCAGTAGTTGAATGTGAGGGCTTTGAGGATAGTGGGTTAAGATATGCAGTTAGACCCTTGCTCTATCATATGCCTCATATGTAAAATGAGGATAAAATAATACTTTAGTTCATAGGGTTTTTGAAGATTTTTAAATGAGATAATTAAAGTGTTCAGAACAGTACTCAGTTAGCACGTTAATAAATGCTCATTAAATACTAGTCTTCATTATCAATACTATTTATTGTTAATATCATTTGAGAAATTGTTTAATGAAGAAAATTTTCTATTGTAGATGTAGATCTTTAAGATTTTTTGTTAATTTTCATTATATGTCAAGTATACATGCACTTATCTTTATAGTAATTTTCTTAATGAAGTTCTGTTTATGCTAATATCTTCTTCACTTAATACTCAAGTTTGAAGTTTATGAGAAGTGATTTGTATCTAGTTCTTTGTTTTTTTTTTTTTTTTTTTAGACAATCTACAAAATGTTTTTAATTTTTTTCTTTTAGGGTCCGGTTTATGGCATGAATAGGCTTCCACCACAACAGCATATTTATGCCTATTCACAACAGATGCACACACCACCAGTGCAAAGCTCATCTGCTTGTATGTTCTCTCAGGAAATGTACGGTCCTCCGTTGCGTTTTGAATCTCCTGCAACAGGAATTCTGTCACCCAGGGGTGATGATTACTTTAATTACAATGTTCAGCAGACAAGCACAAATCCCCCTTTACCAGAACCAGGGTACTTCACAAAGCCTCCAGTTGCAGCTCATGCTTCAAGATCTGCAGATTCTAAAGTCATAGAATTTGGAAAAACTAATTTTGTTCAGCCCATGCCGGGTGAAGCAATACGGCCATCATTGACAACACCGGCACATACGACACAGCCAACTCCTTTTAAATTTAACTCAAATTTCAAGTCAAATGATGGTGACTTCACATTTTCTTCACCACAGGTTGTGACGCAACCCACTTCTACACCTTATAGTAACAGTGAAAGCCTTTTAGGTCTCCTGACTTCAGATAAACCTTTGCAAGGAGACAGCTGTAGTGGACCAAAACCAGTTCCTGGTCAAACTGTTGGGCCTCGAAATACATTCAGTTTTGGAAGTAAAAATGTTCCTGGAATCTCATTTACAGAAAACATGGGACCAAATCAGCAAAAGAGTTCTGGTTTTCGTCGAAGTGATGATATGTTTACTTTCCATGGTCCAGGGAAATCTATATTTGGAGCACCTGCTCCAGAACCGACAAATAAGAATCATGAAACAGATGGAGGAAGTGCCCATGGGGATGATGATGATGATGGTCCTCACTTTGAGCCTGTGGTACCACTTCCTGATAAAATTGAAGTAAAAACAGGTGAGGAAGATGAAGAAGAATTCTTCTGCAACCGTGCAAAATTGTTCCGTTTTGATGGAGAATCCAAAGAATGGAAGGAACGTGGGATAGGCAATGTAAAAATACTAAGGCATAAGACATCTGGTAAAATTCGACTTCTAATGAGACGAGAACAAGTATTAAAAATCTGTGCAAATCATTACATCAGTCCAGATATGAAACTAACACCAAATGCTGGATCAGATAGATCTTTTGTATGGCATGCCCTTGATTATGCAGATGAATTGCCAAAACCAGAACAGCTTGCTATTAGATTCAAAACTCCTGAGGAAGCAACACTTTTTAAGTGTAAGTTTGAAGAAGCCCAAAACCTTTTAAAAGCCTCAGGAACAAATGTAGCCAAAACACCAAATCAGACCATCAGAATTGTAAAAGAACCTGCAAGTCATGAGAACAAAGATATTTGCAAATCTGATGATGGAAACCTGAATTTTGAATTTCAAGTTGCAAAGAAAGAAGGCTCTTGGTGGCATTGTAACAGCTGCTCGTTAAAGAATGTTGCAACTGCTAAGAAATGTGTATCATGCCAAAATCTAAACCCAAGTAATAATGAACTCATAGGTTCATCGTTAGTAGAAACTGGTTCTACTCCTAAAACTGGCCCAGAAAATGCTCAAGATAGATTTGCATCAATGACTCCAAAGAAAGAAGGCCACTGGGACTGTAGTATTTGTTTAGTAAGAAATGAACCTACTGTATCTAGGTGCATTGCATGTCAGAATACAAAGTCTCCTAACAAAACTGGATCTTCCTTTGTTCATCAAAGTTCTTTTAAATTCAGCCAGGGAGATCTTCCTAAGTCTGTTAACAGTGATTTCAGATCTGTATTTTCTGCAAAGGAAGGACACTGGGATTGCATTGTTTGTTTGGTAAGAAATGAAGCAAGCTCTACAAAATGTGTTGCTTGTCAGAATCCAAGAAAACAGAGTCTGCCTACTACTTCTGTTTCAGAACCTGCCTCTTTTAAGTTTGGTACTTCAGAGATCARTGTAACTCCAAAGAGTGGATTTGAGGACATGTTTGCTAAGAAGGAAGGACAATGGGATTGCAGTGTGTGTTTGGTAAGAAATGAAGCAAGCTCTGCAAAATGTGTTGCTTGTCAGAATCCAAGAAAACAGAGTCTACCTACTACTTCTGTTTCAGAACCTGCCTCTTTTAAGTTTGATACTTCAGAAATCAGTGTAACTCCAAAGAGTGGATTTGAGGACATGATTGTTAAGAAGGAAGGACAGTGGGATTGCAGTTCATGCTCAGTGCGAAATGAAGCAAATGCTACAAGATGTATTGCTTGTCAGAATCCTGCTAAGCCAAGTACATCCACTTCTGCTGTTCCAGCTTCTGCTTCTTTCAAGTTTGGTACTTCAGAGATAAGCAAGGTTCCAAAGAGTGGATTTGAGGGAATGTTCACCAAGAAGGATGGACAGTGGGATTGTAGTTTATGCTTAGTACGAAATGAAGCAAGTGCTACCCAATGTATTGCTTGTCAGAATCCAAATAAACAGAATCAGCCTACAACTGTTACGGCGCCTGCCTCTTCAGAGGTAAGCAAGGCTCCAAAGAATGGATTTGAAGGAATGTTTGCCAAAAAGGAAGGACAGTGGGATTGTAGTGTTTGTTTTGTACAAAATGAGAGTACTTCTTTAAAATGTGTTGCTTGTGATGCTGCTAAACCAGCTCACAAACCTATTGCAGAAGCTCCTTCAGCTTTCACAGTGGGCTCAAAAACGAAGATAAATGACTCTTCTGAAAGTCGTGTGGGGACAGGATTTAAAGGTAACTTTCCAGAAAAAACTTCTAAATTTGGCATTACAGAGCAAGGATTTAAATTTGGGCATGCGGATCAAGAAAACACACCTTCATTTACATTTCAGGGTTCTTCTAATACAGAATTTAAGTCAATAAAAGACGGATTTAGTTTTTCCATCCCTGTGTCTGCTGATGGGTTTAAATTTGGCATTCAAGAACAGGGAAATCAAGAGAAGAAAAGTGGAAAGCAACTTGAAAATGACACCAGTTCCCAGGCTCAGGATGCTCATAGTCAGAAGAGTAGCAGTGGTGTAATTTTTGGTCAGACAAGCAGCACTTTTACCTTTGCAGATCTTGCAAAGTCAACTTCAGGAGAAGGATTTCAATTTGGCAAGAAAGACCCTAATTTTAAGGGATTTTCAGGTGCTGGAGAAAAATTATTCTCATCACAAAGTGGTAAAATGACTGAAAAAGCCAGCACTTCTGCTGATCTTGAGAAAGATGATGATGCCTATAAAACTGAGGACAGTGATGACATCCATTTTGAACCAGTAGTACAAATGCCTGAAAAAGTGGAACTTGTAACAGGAGAAGAAGATGAAAAAGTTCTGTATTCACAGCGAGTGAAATTATTTAGGTTTGATGCTGAGATAAGTCAGTGGAAAGAAAGGGGTTTGGGGAACTTAAAAATTCTCAAAAATGAAGTCAATGGTAAACTAAGAATGCTGATGCGAAGGGAACAAGTATTAAAAGTATGTGCCAATCACTGGATAACGACTACGATGAACCTCAAGCCTCTCTCTGGATCAGATCGAGCATGGATGTGGTTAGCTAGTGATTTCTCTGATGGCGATGCCAAACTGGAACAGCTGGCAGCAAAATTTAAAACACCAGAGTTAGCTGAAGAATTCAAGCAGAAATTTGAAGAGTGCCAGCGACTTCTGTTAGATATTCCACTTCAAACTCCCCATAAACTAGTTGATACTGGCAGAGCTGCCAAATTAATACAGAGAGCTGAGGAAATGAAGAGTGGACTGAAAGATTTCAAAACAGTTTTGACAAATGATCAAACAAAAGTCACTGATGAAGGGAATAAGAGTTCAGGTACAGATGCTGCCAGTGCCTCAGACACAACAGTCAAGCCAGATTCTGAAAACACTGGGCCCACTTTAGAGTGGGATAACTATGACTTAAGGGAAGATGCTTTGGATGATAGTGTAAGCAATAGCTCAGTACATGCTTCTCCATTGGCAAGCAGCCCCGTGAGAAAAAACCTCTTCCGCTTTGGTGAATCAACAACAGGATTTAACTTTAGTTTTAAATCTGCTTTGAGCCCATCTAAGTCTCCTGCCAAGTTGAATCAGAGTGGGACCTCTGTTGGCACTGATGAAGAATCTGATGTTACTCAAGAAGAAGAGAGAGATGGACAATACTTTGAACCTGTTGTACCTTTACCTGATCTAGTTCAAGTGTCCAGTGGTGAGGAAAATGAGCAAGTTGTTTTTAGTCACAGAGCAAAACTCTATAGATATGATAAAGATGTTAGTCAGTGGAAAGAAAGGGGCATTGGTGATATAAAGATCTTACAGAATTATGATAATAAGCAAGTTCGCATAGTGATGAGAAGAGACCAGGTATTAAAGCTTTGTGCCAATCACAGAATAACTCCAGACATGACTTTACAAAGTATGAAAGGGACAGAAAGAGTATGGGTGTGGACTGCCTGTGATTTTGCAGATGGAGAAAGAAAAGTAGAACATTTAGCTGTCCGTTTTAAACTACAGGATGTTGCAGACTCCTTTAAGAAAATTTTCGATGAAGCAAAAACAGCCCAAGAAAAAGATTCTTTGATAACACCTTATGTTTCTCGTTCAGGCACTCCTAGAGAGTCACCATGTGGCAAAATTGCTGTAGCAGTATTGGAAGAAACCACAAGAGAAAGGACAGATTTAATACAGGGTGATGATGTACCAGATGCAAATTCAGAAGTTGGAGAAGTGTCTAGCACATCTGAAACAACAACAAAAGCAGTGGTTTCTCCTCCAAAGTTTGTATTTGGTTCAGAGTCTGTGAAAAGCATTTTCAGTAGTGAAAAATCAAAACCATTTGCATTTGGCAATAGTTCAGCCACTGGGTCTTTGTTTGGATTTAGTTTTAATGCACCTTTGAAAAACCACAATAGTGAAACCAGTACAGTAGTCCAGAGTGGATCTGAAAGAAAAGTGGAACCTAACAAATGTGAACTGTCAGAGAACTCTATCAAACAATCTTCAAATGGCAAAGTCAAAAGTCTGTTTGCTTCCTTTCCAAAGGAAGAATCTTCAACTAATTACACATTTAAAACACCAGAAAAGGGTAAGTACTTTGTAGAGTTAAACACAACTTGTTTTTGTTTGGTTTTCATATTCACATAATGCAAATTCTGCATATGACACTGATGTTTTAGTAAAATTGGGTCTTAAGTATTGCTTTGAGAATACCCAAAGGATTCTTGAGCAGACCTTTTTCTCCCTAAATGAATTCACTCGTGAGTATTCAAACAGTAACAGAGATTGTTGGTTATTTAAGAGATTTTGATAACTGGAAGATAAATGTATTATGCGAGGGCAGAGCAGAAAAACCCCAATATAGTATAAAGACTCAAAAATTTAAATCATGAGCATTAACTTGTCTTTTTTTAAAGTGTTCATTCTCAATTATATCATTTTGTCACTACTCAGAGCTCATGGTATTGAGATGTTCACACATTAAGTTAGTTAGTCTTGCCACCATTTATTAAGTGAGCAAAGTATGAAAGCACTGGAATAAATAAATATGTAACATAACCAGATTGGGATAAATTGAAGAACTCTGGCTTTTCATATTTTAAATAATATTCATTTTATATTCCAAAATGTTGAAATTAAAAAAACATTTTATTTTCTAGGATTTAATTTTAGCTTATTTAAATCTAATCCAATGGCCTTTTGGACCAGCACCCCTTCCTCACAGACTGAGAGCAAAGGTATAGAGCTAGTAATCTCAGTATGAGGTGGCTATCTGCTGGTAATCCTTAGCAAAGTAACCGTGGCTGTATGAAATTAAGTACTTAACGCTACAATGTGCATGTTTTAGAATGCCATTTTAAGCAAAATATCTTTTGACTGGTGATATAACACCTTTTAATAGTATTTTTTAAAAATGTACCTGGATGCTATGTGTTTTCTCATTATTGCACACTGGTTTTGTTTTGTTTTGCTGCTTTCTACTTTATTGCTCTGTTTTCAGCTCTGCTTAATGAGGACCTATGTTTTTATCTAACCCTTATCTTCAGCCACTAATGTCTGCCAGTATTCAAATGTGATGGCAGCAGCATGTATTCAGTCCTTTAAGGATTTCTTTTTGTATGTCATTTAGGAAAATAGTGTATTTAATTATTTTTCATAGCCACCATTCTATAGCCTGTGTGTTGTATATGTAGCACAGATCATTTGCAGAAGTAAGTATTGTAACTAGAGTGGAATAGGAAGGAAGAATCGTTAGGAGCAAAATCAGATAAATGAGTACTCACTATTACTGTCTAGTTAGTAACACATCTTGAGCACCTAAAACTATAGTGATAGAGTGAAAGTCCTCGGTACTGGAACCTTCATGTTTAAAATGACCAATTATTACTAGCTAAGGCAGCTCTTAGAAAATACAATCTTTGAGAAATTACGTGAAAAGTGTGTTGGATGTCATAGAAAAGTGGATAGTCTCTGGGAACTCTATGTTAGGTTTCCTCTTACGCCAGGGATCCTTATCAGTATGCTACTGTAGGACCCAGAAAACCTTATTCTGTTTGGAATCTGAGGACATAGTTCCAAAAGACCTTAGAAATGTGACTTTAGACATGAGGCACCTGAGGTCAAGAGAAGCTCTCTGATTTACTGAGTCCTCTTTCAACTAATATCAGAACTGAAATAAGAATCTGTATTTAATAAAGTATAGGGTTCCTTTACTGTCCCTGGCTAGGAAATTGATACTAAGTTTTTGTTTGTCATGGAGGAGTGGGGCAAGTTTAACATTGTAAAAGGAGGGGCTCTGAAGTGTCATCCAATTGAAATAAAACATATCTATGTATATAATTTACGATTTTCTAGTAGCTACGTTAAAAAAAAAACAGGTGGTTTTTAAGAAACATATTAAATCAATTTAATAATGTACTTGATTTAATCCACAAAATATCAACTTCTAATTAGCATAAAAAATTAGTAAGATATTTCATATTCTTTTTTTATTCCAGGTCTTTAGAATCCAATATGAATGTTTACACTGACAGCACATCTCAGTTTGAACTATCTTCCTCTCAAAAGTATTAAATAGCCACATGTGGCTTGGCTGTCATAGTGGGACAGCATGGCTCTAGAGAATATTTCCCTATTACCATTGTGTACATGGCATGCTTCTTCATTGGCTTAAGTTATCTTTTTCTTTAGTCAGAATTTTTTTTCATAGACCAGAACAGATTACACATAAAATTCCCTTTTCCCCCCTCCTTTTTTGCCCTATACATTGGAGGGTAGTGGGAAGGAGGGGCCGGGTGGGGTATATTTTCAGCCATAGAAATTATCTTGGGTTCTTAGAGTATTACTTACCCATAGGATGATAGTTTTTATTGAATTTTGTCTAGTTTCACACTGGAAACTGGATGCAAAACCATATGTAACTTGGTTACCTGCCATCCTTAACAATTTTTAACTTTCCTTGTAGGAACTAATGAAGGTTGGCTCTGGATTAGTTTCATATTCATATTATTTAAGGTTTATTTAAGTGTTTTTTTTTTTTTTCATTTGATACAAATGCATGGATAATTTGCTGTTCTGTAGTATGCCAAATGTAGTCATGGGGGGAGGACTTTTTTAAATTATGGAAATGAGTGGTTATTCTTTTCAATTGCTAAAAAGTAAAAGAATATTTTTAACGTAGATTTTGTAAAGGTTTTAGGAGAACACTAAATTAGGCTGCTAATTCTAGTTTATGATTATCATAAAGCTTGGTCTGCACCAGAGTATTCATGTTTTTATCTGTGTGCATTTTAACCTATAGGTAAATTATGTGATACTTTATTTTTAGTTAGAATATTGATGATAATAGTTATTCAGCACTTTTGTCTTTATCAGTTTTTTTTACTTGTGTTACAGCAGAAGAGAAGAAAAAACTGGAAGATCCTCCCTCAGATGATGATGTTCTCATTGTTTATGAACTAACCCCTACTCCTGAGCAAAAAGCACTTGCAACCAAACTTAAACTTCCTCCAACTTTCTTCTGCTATAAGAATAAACCAGATTATGTTAGTGAAGAAGAGGAGGATGGTAAATATTTTATTGTTTTAAAAAGCACGCTGGTTTTGCTAATCTTAGTAGTTTGGAGTATGGTTTAATTATTTTAAACCCAACTTTTAGAACTTATTGTTACTATCCTTACAGGTAGATATTTTCCCTAAATGTGTAAACAGTCAGTGGATATAATGATTAGAAGAATGGCATTCATTAAACAAGGAGTTTTTTTGGTTTGCTATCATATGCTAGGCAGGCGTTTTGAGGGATTGAAAGTAATAATTTTTCAAAACTCTTAGACAAGGTTCCAGTGATGGAAAACTTTGTATGCCATATCAGAGCTTTTAAGCAGGATACTTACAAGCTCAAAAAATCCCAGTTGGGCAGTGGTGTAGAGGATTGTGTTGTGGAAATATGAGATTAGAAGCTGTGCTAAAATGATAGTAAGCCAGCCCAAATAGGAATAGAGTACAAGTGAAAGCTCTAAAAACAGGAGAGGCATTAGAGATTTCCAGTTGGCAAAATGGACTGTGTGGATATGGAAAATGAAGGAAAGAATGAAGTTTGAGATAAGTCCTAGCTTTGTGGCTTAGAAAACCCTCAAAACTAATTACTAGAAATACTTGTTTTTACTTTAAGATGAAGATTTTGAAATGGCTGTCAGGAAACTTAATGGAAAACTCTATCTGGATGACTCAGAAAAACATAGGCCATTAGAAGAAAATCTAGCAGGTATGTTGCGTTTAATAATTAGATTTTTTTTTTAAACAAATCATCTATTTGAAAGAAACCTTGATCTGATAATCATTTCTATAATAATCAATTTTATTTAACATGTTCTTGTCCCTAGTAACTTAAAATATTTAAAAATAATGCTACATGAAAAACACTGGTTTCTTGGTGGTCCTTATTCTCTATTAGTATTTCTAGGTCTTGTTATCTTGGTCTATGGATTACATTGAGAACCACTGAAAGCCAATCGCTGTTGTAGAGTAGTTGGATTTCATCTAATTTTTTTTTTTTTTTTTTTTTGCTTGTTTTGTGTGAAATTTTTAGATAATGAAAAAGAATGTGTTATTGTTTGGGAAAAGACACCAACAGTTGAAGAGAAAGCAAAAGCAGATTCATTAAAGCTTCCACCTACATTTTTTTGTGGAGTTTGCAGTGATACTGATGAGGACAATGGAAATGGGGAAGACTTTCAATCAGAGCTTCAAAAAGTTCAGGAAGCTCAGGTAAGAATGTCTTCATTGTTTTCCTTTTGATTCCATTGACTTTGTTGATGTAGTGCGCAGTAGAATGTTCTTATCAAATGGTAATGATAGGTGAAGCTAGCAGGTAGAGTGGCTCTAAATAAGCGAGAGGCATACTATTTATGAATTAGTACACTCAAAATAGTTAGGATATTAGAGTTTCCAAAAGGTTTTCCAAAATTGAGCTATACATTTAAGGCAGTGCCAGTCAAAACTTCGCAAGGATTCTTTGAAGATACAGACAAGCTAATTCTAAAATTTCTATGGAAAGTTACGATTATATGTTTGTTATTATCGATGAACCTACACTGAGACATCCTCACCCAGAGTTTTGAGTTTTTACCTAAAATGGTTATTCAATTTTGTCAAATTGTCTTATTCCATCTGTTGTTGCAATCATGGAACTTTTTATTAAATTTATGAAGGATATTGATTGTTTTGAATGTTCAGGAAACCAACATTGCATTCCTGGGATAAGCCTCACTTAATCATGGTATATTATAATTTTTATATGCATTTGGGTTCAATTTGCATAAATTTTGTTGCAACTTTTGGATTTATATTTATCAGGGGTATTGATCAGTAGTTCTTTTTTTTTCTGGCATTATTTTCAGCTTCCATATAAGAATTAATACTGATACATAAAGTGGATTGAAAAATATTTCTGGATACTGCTGTTTTCTGAAAGAGATTGTGTCAAATTGTTACCATTTCTCCTGGAATGATCTGCAATTTTTACCAATAGGATCATATGAGATAAAGTTTTCTGAAGGTTTTTTTAAAAATACAATAATTGAATACAGAACTGTAGGGTATCTATCCAGGTTATCTCCTACTTCTTCAGTGATAAAAATCAATTGGTGATAATTGGTGACAAATTTGTGTGTGGAGAGCTCTTCCTTTAAATTCCTGTTTTATCTTTTAATGTCTATAAGTTCAATATAGAAATATCCTGTTTTCTCTCTTTTTCACTCTTCTTGATTAATCTGGTTAGAGGTTCATAAATGTCATGAGTACTTTTTCCCCCCTCCAATAGAAATAGATTTTGCTTTCATTGATACTTAGTCTAATTTGTGTGTCAGAAGATTTTATTGATTTCGGGCTGGGGTTGTGGCTCAGTGATGGAGCGCTTGCTTAGTATGTGTGAGGCACTGGGTTCAATTCTCAGCACTGCATATAAACAAATTTCTGTTCTTTAATATTTACTTCTTGCCTTGAGTTTATTTTGCTCCCCACCCCCACTTTTTTGGTGCCAGGGATTGAATCCAGGGTGCTTAACTACTAAGCTACCTACCTCTCCAGACCTTTTTTCATATTTTATTTAGAGACAGGGTTTTACTAAGTTGCTGAGGTTGACTTTGAACTTGTGTGTGATCCTCCTGTTAATTAGGTCAAATTAGTTGATACTGTGTTATTGGGTCTCACATATCCTTGATGATTTTTGTCTGCTTATTCTATCAGTTACCAAGAATAGTGTTATCAACCATAATTGTGACTGCCATTCATCAGATATTGCTTCTAATACTTTATCAATTTCTTGGTTTTGTTTACTTTCTCTGTTATTTTTCCCATATCCCTCCCCTTTTTTCCTGTTCTTTTTCTTTTATTTTTCCCCCTGCTTGCTTTGATTTAGTTTGCTGTTTTTCCAGCTTCTTAAAGTGTAAAGATTATTAGTCTTTGATCTTTCTTTTTTAGCGTAAGCGTTTACAGCTTTCCTGTTAGAAAATGCATCTTTACAAATTATGGTATATAAAAGCAGTTACCAAAAAATTATTTTTGCTTTTAGTTATTACTGATATACTTTATAGCTCTGTATGGATTCAAGTTATCATCTATATTTTATGTTCTTTGAGCTCAGCCTACTGGACTTGTTTTGTACTTCTTATATAGTACAGATCTGCTAGCAAGTTTTTTACAGTTTCTGTTTATCTGTGATACCTTAATTTCTCTCTCATTTTTAAATGGTAGTTTTGCTGGGGATATAGAATTATTGGCTGACTTACTTTCAGCACTTTAAATGTGTTATTCCACTGTTTTCTGACCTCTGATTTCTGATAAGGACGTTGCTATTGATTATATATATATGTAAAATATATTTTAGTTGTTGATGGGTCTTTATTTATGTGTGGTGCTGAGAATTGAACCCAGTACCTCAAACATGCTGGGCAAGTGCTCTACCACTGAGTTATGACCCTAGTCCTGCTATTAATCTTACTGAGAATCACTTATGGAATGAGCTTTCTCCTTTCAATAGAGTTCTCTTGGGCTGGGATTGTGGCTCAGTGGTAAAGCCTAGCATGTGTGAGGTACTGGGTTTCATTCTCAGCACCACATAAAAATAAATAAATAAAGTTCAACCAAAAAAAAAGAAAGTTCTTAATATTCAGCTTTTAATAGTTTATCTGTGATGAATTTAAGTGTGTATCTTTTTGATTGTATCCATATTGGAGTTCATAAAGACTTTTTGGATATTTTCAGAGGTTATTCAAATGTCCTCCCTTTGTCTCCTTCTGAGTCCCCCATTATGTGTATGTTGGTATGCTTGATGGTATCATGTAGGTCTTTGAAACCTTGTTGAGTTTCTTCCTTGTTGTTTTTTTTTTTTTTCATAAGATTTCTCAGACTAGATAATCTCAATTCATTTATCTCTAGCTTATTGATTTATTTTGCCAGTCAGATCTGCTGTTGACCCTCCTAGTGATTTTTTTGATTTTTTTAAAGTAGACTTGACTTTCTGGAGCAGATTTGGGATTATAGGAAGATACCAGAGATATCCAGGAATCTCTTGCCCTCACATACACATTTTTCCTTGTTATCATCCTGTACCATAGGGCCATATTTTTTACAATCGTAGAACTTGTGTTCATGCTTCACCACCAAAGTTTATGGTTTACATTAGGTTTTCCCCCTGTGTTGTACTTTTATGAGTTTGGACAAATGTATAATGAATGACATGTACACCATGATAGTGTCTCACAATATGATTTCACTGTCCTAAAAATTCTTCTGTGCCCTGCCTGATTCCCACCCCAGCTGCCGAGTCACTGCTGAGCCAAAGTGAGGGATGGGTATGGATAGAGAGGAAAAGGAGAGTAGAACAGTACCATAAACCCAGCTTGATTTATTTATTTATTTATTTATTCATTCATTCATTCATTCATTCATTCATTCATTCATTCATTCCTTTTTACAAAAGTTCAAAAATTGTTAAATTTTTGGTTACTTTCTAGGGTTGATGAAGAAGTTGATTTTGATCATCTTTGTTAATGCTTTTCTTGTTTTTATGAAGGGGTATATTTACAATAGCCCTCTTTCTACCATTCCAGAAATGGCAAATAGACTCCTTTATCTTGATCATCCTTCTTTATCCCTTGTTATTTTACTTGAATCTGCTATATCTGGTAATGATTCAGTCTTTTTATTTATTGTAATTATCATGGTTAGATTTAGGTTTATCATTCCTTTTTAGTTGCATGCATCCCTTTTATTTTTCATTACTGTTCTCATTTTTCCTTCCTTTTAAATTGTATTAAATTAAATTTTATTAAAAATTCTGGGGAATATTAAATTGTATTAAAAGTTCTGGGGAATATAATTTAAATTGTATTCCCCAGAATTTTTAAAAATTTTATTGTTGTACCATTATTGTGGTATTAGGAATTTAAAAAAATTTTTGTGTACTAGGCAAGTGCTCTGTCACAGAACTACATCACTATTGCTTTTTAAACTTCTCTTTTGAGACAGGGTCTTGCTAAATTGCTTAGGCAATCCTCAGCTTCCTGAGTCATTGGGATTACAGCTGTGTGACACCATACCCACTTGGCAAATGTCTGTTGTATATATTCAGTTTTTAACCTATAACCCTGTTACTGCTTAGCAGTTTCAGAAAATTCTTGTCTACTCTTTGTGTTTTTTATTTTTACATTTACAATCATGTCGTCAGTAAATGTTGACAGCTTTATTTTTTTCCTTCCCAATCTTTATACCTTTTATTTCCTTTATTTATTAAGATTTTTCAGTGTATCTTGTGAATTTCTAGTATATCTTTTGGTATGAGGGGGCAGTCTTGCCTTGCTGTTGTTCTTAATAAGAAAGCTAGTTTCTCATTGTTAAATAGGTTAATGGCAATTGTTTTGGTAGATGTTCTTTATCAAATATAAGAAGTAATTTATGGAGAGTTTTTATCATGAATGGGTGTTGGATATTGGCAAGTGATTTTTCTGCAACTATTGACATATATGAGCTTTTGATTTCTTCTTTGAACAGTTTTATGAGTACATTGGTATAATTGGTTTTCACATGTTCAACCAGCCTTCCATCCTTGGAATAAATCTCACTTGGTTGTGGTATATAATTCTTTTTATAAATTGATTTTTTTTTTCTTTTGGTGTTGTGGATTGAACCCACAGCACCCCACACACACACACTTTTTTAAAAAATTAGTGCATTATAGTTGTGCGTAATGATGGGATATGTTATATATTCATAGATGCATACAATGTAATATAATTTAGCCAATATTACTCTCCAGCAACTATCCACTCCACCATTTCATCTCTTTTCTCTACTGACCTTCCTTTGATTTTTTTAGGAGATTCCCCCTACCTTGACCTTTCTTTTCTTTTTTCCTTCTCTAGTTTCTGCATGTGAGAGGCAGTATACAACACTGAATCTTCTGAGTTTGGCTTACTTCACTTTATATGATAGTCTCTAGTTCCATCCGTTAGGGTAAATTCCCAGGAACCGTAGAGCTGGGTCATGCAGTGGTTCCATGCCTGGTCTTTTAAGGAAACTTTATACTGATTTCCATAGTGGTTATACTAATTTGCAGTCCCACCAACAGTGTAAAGTGTTCGTTTTTCTCTACATTCTCTCCAGCATTTATTATTATTTGTATCCTTATGACTGCTATTCTGACTAGTGTGAAATGAAATCTCAAGTGTAGTTTTGATTTGCATTTACCTAACTGCTAATGATGTTGAATCTTATTTCATATATTTGTTGGCATTTGTATTTCTTATTTTGACAAGTGTGTATTTAATCCATTTGCCCATTTATTTGACAATATTATTTGGATTTTGGGTATAAAGTTTTGGTGTAAGATTTTTTTTTGATGTAAAGGCTTTATGTATATTTAACATTAATTCTCCATCAGAAGAGTGGCTAGCAGAGATTTTCATCGAAATATGTAGTTTTCTTTTTACATTTCTAATTGTTTCCTTTGCTGGACGGCAGCTTTTTAATTTGATGCTGTCTTATTTATTAATTCTTGGCATTATTTCATGAAATTTGGGGGTCCTATTGAGAAATTCATTGCCGATGCCTATAAGCTAGAATATTGACTCTGTTTTTTCCTTGGAGTTGCATAGTTTCCTGAACCCACAGCTCTTTTTTTTTTTTTTTTTTGATACTGGGTATTGAATTTAGGGGCACTCAACCACTGAGCCACATTCCCAGCCCTATTTTGTGTTTTATTTAGAGACACTGTCTCACTGAATTGCTTAGCAACTCCCTTTTGCTGTGGCTGGCTTTGAGCTCTCAATCCTTTTGCCTCAGCCTTCCGAGTCACTGGGGTAGATTACAAGCATGTACCACTGCACTCACCCACAGCCTTTTTTATCATGTGCTGTACCACTAAGCTACGGCCCCCCAGCCCCTGATTTTATTGAGGATTTTGTTGTTGGATTCATGAGAGAAACTAACTGGTCTAATTGTCCTTTGTTGTAATGTCTGGCTTGGATATTAGGGTGATGCTTTCCTCAAAGGATAAGTTAGGAAGTGTTCCCTCTGCTTCTGTTTCTTCAAAGACATTAGAGAAATTGGTATTTCCTTATTAGATATTTGATGGAATTCACCAGTGAACAACTATCAAAATATGATGTTTTACTGTTAATTCACTGTATTTTTTATTTTATTTTTTTATTAGTTGCTCAAGACAATACAATGATCTTGACATATCGTACATTTGATTCAGATAGGGTATGATTCTCATTTTTCCACGTGTACAGATTGCAGGATCATATTGGTTATACATCCATGTGTATACATACAGCAATCCTAGTGTCAGTTGTATTCTGCTGCCCTCTCTATCCCTCCCTCCCCTCCCTTCCCCTCTCATCACTATTCTCTACCCATTCTACTGTGACACTTATCCCTCTCTCTTTTTTTTCTTCCCTTCCCCCTCACACTGTCCTATATGTATTTTGTGAACCCATGAGGGTCTCATTCCGTCTTCCATGCAATTCCCCTTCTCCCTCCTTTTCCCTCCCTCCTCTTTTCCTTGTTTTGTGGTAATCTTCTCATGCTCTTCCTTCCTACTCTGTTTTGAGTCACCTCCCTTATATCAGAGAAGACATTTGGCATTTGTTTTTTAGGGATTGGCTAACTTCGCTTAGCATAATTTGCTCTAGAATTCACTGTCTTTAATATACATGTACAGGTCTATTCAGGTTATTTCTGCTTGTACACATTTTGGTAGATTGCGACTTTTAAGGAATCAATCTAATCAAATTTGTAGACATAGTGCTGTGCATGATATTCTTTTTTTTTTTTCTGTTACTGTCCATGGGATAATTAGTTTTGAGTCCTATTCCATTTCTGATGTGATTTCTCTCTTTTGTTAATGATTTCAAGTTTAATTCCATTTTAGTTTGAGAGTGTGCTCTGTGTGGTTTCTATTCTTTTAAATGATCTCTTTTTCTTTTTTATGTGATGCTGGGTAGCGAACCCAGGGCCTTATGCTTGTTAGTCAAGTGTTCTATTCTACCATTGAACCATAGGTGAGCCCTAGCACATGGTCTTTTCTTGGTAAATGTTCTGTGTAAGCTTTTGAAGAATGTGTATTTTACTATCATTGGATGAATAGTCTGTAAAATTTATTTCTCTTTCTATAGTTTTCATTGTAAAATTCCCATTTGGTTCTTTTTAATAATTCTGTTTCTTTACTGAGAACATCTATGTTTTCACTTAAGAGTGTCCTTGCTTTTTGGAACATTGTCATAATAGCTTCCTTAAAGCCTGATTTGGATAGTTCTATCACATGAGTCATTTGATGAGCATTCCCACTTCTGGTCAAAGAGAGCTGGCTTGAGACTTTTTTATGTGTGTGCCATCCATCGGCAGTTCTACTTTATTCAATTATTGTAACACCAGGCTGGAGTATAGGAGAGACAGAAAAAATTTCTACACTGATGTCACGAACAAATTTCCTTTCTGGTTCTAAGATACTTAATTATCCTATGTTTATCCACCTTTCAGAGCCTTCTTATAGAGATGCTGTACATATTTCAGTCCAGGTATCTGGTTGTAGGTTTGGGGAAGGAGAGGGTGAAGTGTGCTTAATCCATCTTGTCCAGAAGTCCAAGTCCTCCCTTTCTTATAAAATAGGTTATGTGATCCTTTTTGTAAGTCAGTTTTTAATGGCATAATATTGTGTTATTTCCTATTTGCAGAAATCCCAGAGTGAGGAAATAACTAGCACAACTGACAGTGTGTATACAGGTGGGACTGAAGTGACTGCAGCATTTTTCTGTAAATCTGAAGAACCTGATTCTGTGGACAAACCTATTAGTTCATCATCTGTTTCCTCTGGAACTGTGGACAAACCTGTAGATTTGTCTACTAGAAAGGAAAGTGATACAGAATCTACAAGTCAAGGTAAAACTTGATATGTGTCTATAATCATGTATTACGTAAAAGTTACACCTGTATATTTGAGAAGATAGACTTAGAAGTTTAAAGGGGCATAAGATATCAGTAATACTAAGAAGGAAAATATTGCTTTCCCAACAATGAACATAAGTATGTATCTTTATTGTTAGACCTCTGATTATAGGGACATTGTGACCTGTTTGCCTGAACATAAAAAATAATAGTTTACTTACATGGTGATTTTCTTTGTGTTAATATTGCTTGATAGTTAGTATTGCTCAAGCTTACCCAGAGTATTTTAGTTATACATGAATTGTAGATATAACAGGGGCTTAAATTTTTTATGATTCTACTTAAATATCTGTATTTTTTTTTTAAATTTGTTTTTTAGTTTTTTTAGGTGGACACAATATTTTATATTTATGTGGTGCTGAGAATCGAACCCAGTGCCTCACGCATGCTAGGCGAGTGCCCTACCACTTGAGCCACATCCCCAGCCCCAAATAGCTCTATTTTTATAAACCTCAAAGCTTGGTAAATTATTTAATTATAGTAACTAATGTTTGGTATTGCTTTCTTCCTGTTTTTCCATTTTAATTATTTATTTTTTTGAGGTGGAGGAAGTGTCTCTGAAAATTGTATTGCTTTATATGTGGTGCATAATTTTTCCCCCCTAAAAGGAATTCTAAATAAGTCACAAATATTACATTTATTGGCACTTTAGAGTTTTACTATGTATTTTACTATGGTAGAATAGGAAGGTAAATTTACACCTAAAACCTCTGTATTTTCAGATGAGTGAGTAAGGTATAGTGACTCAGAGATAATATAGAATTCAGATGCCCCCAAACTTCTGATGATCAAATGTAAATGTGAACTTTTTTTGTAATACAGAACACAAAACATTTTTTGTACAGATGTTTCCTAAAATCCTGCCCTTGATTGCTTGTTTTAGCAACCTTTTGTAAAAAGACTTCACAAAGCAGAAATTGTATCGTTATGTTATCTAGCTTAAGATAAATAGATCACCACCTCATTAATTTTGGGGGTAGAGGTTGGTACCAGGGATTGAACTCAGGGGCACTTAACCACTGAGCCACATCCCCAGCCCTATTTTTCATTTTAGAGACAGGGTCTCACTGAGTTGCTTAACACCTCGATTTTGCTGAGGCTGGCTTTGAACTCGCCATCCTCCTGTCTCAGCCTCTGGAGCCGCTAGGATTATAGGTGTGCACCACTGTGACTGGTTTCCTTAATAATTTGGGGGCATGCATTTGGTGTAGTATTGTATTCATTGTGAATATCACCTGTAAACTTAATATTACCGAAGAAGCTCAAAATTGGATGTATAGTTTTCCAAAATGTACAATTTACCAAAATATAGAAGCTAAACCCCTTTATCCTTGGTAAGTCCTACTATTCTTTTCATGTTTATACATCTTAACTGAAATAGTAAAATGTTCTTTTTCTTTTGTCAGTGGAAAGTAAAACAGTTTCATTTGGATTTGGAGGTGGTACAGGACTGTCATTTGCAGATTTGGCTTCTAGTAATTCTGGGGATTTTGCTTTTGGTCCTAAAGGTAAGATCAGGATGTGATTTTAATCATCATGTTACAGAAGCACAACTAAAAGAACCAGTCCTTTTGTTAGTGTTGTAACTAAAGTAACACTTCCCCATTTGTTTATAGTGTTCTCATAATGAAGGGTTTCTAGGTTTAATTTTTTTAAAATTTATGGTAATGGAGATTGAACCTGGGGCTACTCTACCACTGAGTCTACATCGCCCACCCACCCCCACCCTTTTTAAAATTTTTATTTTGAGGCAGAGTCTCACTAAGTTGCCAAAGCTGTTCTTATACCTTTGATCCTCCTGCCTCAGCATTCCCAGTCATGGATTATATATCTGCATGACCACACTTCACTTACATTTCCTTACTAATAGTATAACCATAAGAATTTTTAAATTTTGTATAAGGTGTTCTAATGGTCTTCCCTGTACTAAAATGCAGAACTATTAACTATATGTACTTTTAGATTTGATTTGTTGATATTTCAACAAATCCCCCCTACTCCCTCCCACCCCTTAAGGTGCTAGAGCCCCACACATGGTAGGCAAACACTCTCCCACTAAGTCCTATCTCCCTCCCTAAATCTGCATTTTTTAAGGAGATGATTTGGATTTCAGTATTAGGGTTGTGCTAATTTATGCTGCTAAAATAAGTATAAATGATGTGCCTTTTCATCTTTATCAGTTATGTTTCTACTTTTAATCCCTTTTGGTAACATTTCTATAAAATAGTACACTTGTAAAAGTGATTTCATCATTGTATCGAGTTAATTAGCATAAGGCAGTTCATTTTATTTTCTCATTCTTAGTGTCTTTCATATCTGTGGTTATAGCACTATCTAAATTGTTCTTGTATAGATGTTTGATTTGTTGAGTAAATTTTATTGAAGGCATATGCTTATATGATTAATGCAATTCAAATGACTAATATTCCCACATATTTATACTTTGTTCACAGCTTCTGCTTCTTTTAGGAAGAGTAAACTACTTTGGGATATGGTGATACATTAGAATTTATGGCTTCCCTGATAACAAGTTTCTTTATTTTTGTTTTAACCAAATAGCCTAAAGTTAAAGGCTTAGCAAATATAGCAAGGTAGTGGGTGCAGTTATCTGCAAACAAATGCCAAAAGAAAATTGTTGTGTTTACTGCTTATTACTCAATATAACCAAGTACACAACTGTACACTAACTTGTAAATTAGGAAAAACACCAGGAGAGAGCCTTGTAAATAAGCCTTACCCACCACGGTTTCTCCTCACCATCACTTCTCCTTTTTAGTGAGATCATTCACCAATCTCTCTTTCCTTCCCTCCCCCTTCCCCTTCTCCTTTGCTTTTTTTTTTTCTTCTGTATTGAATGCTTGGTTTAATTTAGGATGTACTTGTTATAATAATTGAAAGTATAAATTCCCTGCAGTTTTGCCTGTGAATTGAACTTGCCAGAATATTTTAAACTTTTTTTTTGGGGGAAAGGGAGATGATGCTTTACCACTTTACCCAGGGATGCTTTACCCCTGAGCTCCGTCCCCAGCCTCCCCCCCCTCCCCCCACCTCTTTCTTTCTTAATTTTAAAACAGGATCTCACTAAATTACTTAGGGCTTCACCAGATTGTGGAGATTGGCTTGGAAGTTGCAGTCCTCTTACCTCAACATCCCAAACTGCGGGGATTACAGGCGTGTGCTACCCTGCCTGGCGTATTTTAAACATTTTAAATAGATGTGTCCTATTGTTGGAAATGATAATGTTGCATTGATAATCTAAAAGTGGGATTTTAAAAATCTTTAAAAAGTAGATTACACAGTTTACATATCCTAATTTATTCCTCAGATAAAAATTTCCAGTGGGCAAATACTGGAGCAACTGTGTTTGGAACACAATCAACCAGTAAAGCTGGTGAAGATGAAGATGGTAGTGATGAAGAAGTAGTTCATAATGAAGATATTCATTTTGAACCAATAGTGTCATTACCAGAGGTAAATGTCAGGGAATGAAAATTTTACTAATAAGTTAATTTTCATATTAAGCTTAAAAAATTACCCTGGATTGATTTGTAGGACTATTGCTGTTTATATTTCCTTCAGGATACTTATTATGTGAAATAGTAGCTCTATTTGTTCGATATCAGTTTTTGTTTTTGGTACTGGGGGTTTAACCAAGGAATGTTTTGCCATTAAGCTACATCCTCAGCCCCCCCCCCTTTTTTTGAAACAGGGTCTCGCTAAGTTGCTTGGTTCTCACTAAATTGCCAGGGCTGGCCTTGAACTTGGAATCCTTTTGCCTCAGCCTCTTGAGTCACTGGGATTACAGGCATGCACCACCACTGTACCTGGTTTAGGCATTCAGCTTTTAAGTATATTTTTGTTTTTTTCCTTGTTTTTCAGTTTTTGCAGTGCTGGGGGTTGAATCCAAGGACCTCAAACATGCTACACAGTACTCTATTACAGATCTATACTGAACCCTCTTTTTTTAAGTTTGTATATAAATTTTGCTTTGTAATTAGTATATGCAGTTGTTGAGAAGAAATTTTTTTTTTCATATATTATTAGAATATCATGTTTGTTTTTATACTGAATTCTGGGGACAAAATAATTTCCTTACTTGCTAACATCATTTTAGTAAAAAGTAACAACCTTCACAGTTTTGGACAAGAATGTTGTTTTAGGAAAATTATTTTGTCATTTTCTTAACCTCAGTCAGTAGTTAATATTTCTTTTCAAGAACCAGAACTTTCTGTAACTTAACCTATAAAGGAAAAAAATTTTAATGTCCTTACAAAGAAAATATGTTAAAAGAATTTGGATTTTTGGAATTATAAGCATCAGCTTATAGATAATTTCATCTTTTTTAATAGGTAGAAGTAAAATCTGGAGAAGAAGATGAAGAAATTTTGTTTAAAGAGAGAGCTAAACTTTATAGGTGGGATAGAGATGTCAGTCAGTGGAAGGAGCGGGGTGTTGGAGATATAAAGATTCTTTGGCATACAATGAAGAATTACTATCGGATCCTAATGAGAAGAGACCAGGTGTTTAAAGTGTGTGCAAACCATGTTATCACCAAAACAATGGAATTAAAACCCCTAAATGTTTCAAATAATGCTTTAGTTTGGACTGCTTCAGATTATGCTGGTGAGTTTCTAACTTTAAATGTAAATATTCTTTCTTTTTTTTCCTTTTTGGACTTTTCTAAAATCCATAACAAACGTAAAACAATTTATAAGTTATGCGAATACCCTTGTAACTTTTTTCCTAATAGATGGAGAAGCAAAAGTGGAGCAACTTGCAGTGAGATTTAAAACAAAAGAAATGGCTGAGTCTTTTAAGAAAAAATTTGAAGAATGTCAGCAAAATTTATTGAAACTCCAGAAAGGACAGGTGTCTCTGGCAGCAGAGTTATCAAAGGAGACAAATCCTGTGGTATTTTTTGATGTTTGTGCGGATGGTGAACCTCTGGGACGTATAACCATGGAATTATTTTCAAACATTGTTCCTCAAACTGCTGAGAACTTCAGAGCACTGTGCACTGGAGAGAAGGGCTTTGGTTTTAAGAACTCCATTTTTCACAGAGTAATTCCAGATTTCGTTTGCCAAGTAAGTATTAACTACCTATCATAATTGAAATAAAAAACAGTACACACCACATAACTTGGGAAGTTTGCATTTTTCTTCTTGACCTCATTGATTGTGTATTTTTTTTTAATATTTTTTTCTTCATTGTAAATGGACACAATACCTTTATTTTTTATTTTTATGTGGTGCTGAGGATCGAACCCAGTGCCTCAGATGTGTGAGGTGAGCACTTTACCACCGAGCTACAACCCCAGTTCCATCTTGTAGTTTTCTTAAGATTTCTTTAGCTTTCCCAAATAACAGTTGTCATCACCACTGACTCCCTAACTCTGCCCAGAACTTTCAAACTTAAATTTTTAACACTTGAACTGTGCTGGAAACAGGGTAGAGAAGAGAACTTTTCATTTTTTAATCTTCATTCAAAAATAAATCTTAAGTTTCAAGATGCATTCTTAAGGAAACTGGATGGTCAGGATTTATTCTGCAGTGACAACTTCTGTGTGTATTTAATGTTTTACTCAGGATTCCTATTAATTGAAATCTTTTTTTCAGGGGGGAGATATCACCAAACATGATGGAACAGGAGGACAGTCCATTTATGGAGATAAATTTGAAGATGAAAACTTTAATGTGAAACATACCGGTCCTGGCTTACTCTCTATGGCCAATCGAGGCCGGGATACTAATAATTCTCAATTTTTTATAACATTGAAAAAAGCAGAACATTTGGACTTTAAGCATGTAGTATTTGGGTTTGTTAGGGATGGCATGGATACTGTGAAAAAGATTGAATCATTTGGTTCTCCCAAAGGATCTGTTAGTCGAAGAATTAGTATCATAGAATGTGGACAGATATAAAATCATTGTTTTTCATAGTAAATTTTAATCTGTATAAGCAGTCTAATTGAAGCTTAGCTGTTACAGACAATATGGTAATTATGTTCAGCTTTTGAAAATGAACGTTTCCAATGTATAAATGTAAAATTGCAGCTTATAGCTGTTGTCACTTTTTAATGTGTTATAATTGACCTTGCATGGTGTGAAATAAAAGTTTAAACACTGGTGTATTTCAGGTGTACTTGTGTTTATGTACTCCTGATATCTGTATTAAAATGGAATAATAATTAATCTTGTTATAAGCAATAGACCTTTGCAGACTATTGAAGGAATATGATATATGCAGCTTAATTTTAGTTTCTTTAGAGATATATTTGGACTTTTTGCATGGATATATTTACCATTTGAATAAAGGGACCACACTTGGATAATTTAATTTTAGATCTGAATTATATTTGGTAATCTTAACTATTGGTGAGTTCCCTTATGCATAGAGATTCGTTTATGAATGGATAGAGCCACAGAAGATATTTAACCAAAGTGCTCTTCAATAATCTTTACACCTCTTGTATAGTTACAAATTAAATTTTAGAGCACCCTCTTAAAATCTGTAGCTTCCTGTGCCCTTTCAAAGGTAATGATTTTACATTTGAAACAAGTTGACTATTAGTTGTTTTTTTTTTTTTTTTTAAACTTTTCTGTCATCTGTCTCTACTACCTCAGAAACTTCAGCTTGGTCCTGATGATAGAATTGAATTTTTTCTTGTGATAAAGTATGAATATTTTCAAAAGGTCTATACGATGTTATTTGGTTAAAGATTTGCTTTATACTAGATTGTTGCAGTACCTTTTTCTGATGAATTTTGTAGCAGAAATAAAGTGACAATTGATAATAGCCATGACATTTTAAACATTCATTACTTGTGCATCTGTTCATTTTAGTACTAGATGTAAGGAGGACAAGTAAAGAAAGATCTGTACTATAAACTGCCACATAATTTTCACAAGTTTGATACACAACAAATTTGGGGGGAGATGTTTTGTGTCAAAAGGAAGTGTAACCAAACTGCTAAAAAAAAAAAAAAAAGAGAGATGTTCTTACTGGCTTACTTAATGTAGAACTACAAAGAATTTTATTATAGCACAATTTTTTTTTTATATTGCAATCATGGATATTGACTCCCTTCTATACTTCCATTTTTTTTTTCCAGTGAAAATACCTCATTTTGTTTAGTGAGGAAAGACAGGTTTACTCCCTATTGTTTGGTGATTTAGAAATAAGTTATCCTGCAGTGAATACCTGTGAAACCTTCTGTCAGAGATGAGGGCAGGGATGTGATAGATGGTTTGTGAACACCAGCATTTACATCACTAAATCTTCTTGGTCACAAAGCCAGATACCTAAAATCAACCTCAAGATTTATTAGTTGAATTACTGCAACTTTCAAGGGAACCATAGACTACATACTGTATGTACATTTACTATTTAGAATTGGTTTCTTTGGAAACCTATGTAATATAAATTGATGTAAAAAGTGTATTGTAATTTTTTTCAGCTAAGACAGTTAATGCTGTCATGATTTCAGAAAAAATTCTAAGTAAATACAAGCTATTTTAAAGAGAGTTTTTATCGATTTTCATGCTGTCCTAAAGCATTAAAGTTATAATTATAAGCTTTAAGGATTTTGACCAAAAACTTGACAGAGTGATATATAAACTGAGTTTTCCAGTATTGGTATTCCAGAGATACTTAAAAGTGGCTTCAGGCATTTATAAGAACATCTTTGTGTTATAATTCAGGAAAGAACTTTGTGGTTTCTATTAAACACTAATAGGGTATTAAGCCTATAATGTGTATTTTTTTTCAAACTTGCTGGATTTTATATTGTCTCATTAAAATCTGCTTAAAGATAGAATAAAGTAATTCATTATGCATTTTAAGCAATACTTTATGGCAAAATTGAGTATTGGTTTATTTAGATAAGAACTAAAAAATACTTTGCTAAAGTATTGCTGTTATAAAATCTTGGCATTTGAGACTTTAATCCAGAGTATTAAGTTGTTAGTTCAGAAATGTAGTTGACAATCAGTTTATAAAAGGGGTTACACTAGTAAAATTGTTTCAATGAGGCCCGGCTCGGGAGGCTGAGGCAGGAGGATTACAAGTTCAAAGCCAGCCTCAGCATAAACCAGGCCCTACTCAACTCAGTGAGACCCTGTCTCTAATTGAGTTCAATTCCCTGTACCCCTCCAAAAATTAAGTGTTAAAAACAACTGTCGGCCTCAGTCAGTCTCTATTAAATAACGTTTCTTAGGTTGATATATCATTGAGCACTCGTGACATGCACACTGTTGTGGGTACTGGGGAAAGCTGGTTTTATTTTGTGTTTTAAAGTAGTACATGTTTTCCTGGAGTTTACATTCTTTGTGATATCCTGTTATACCACAAGCAGAACACAGGGAAAGCGGAGGTTTCTGTGTGAAGCGTTCTACTATATTCTTGATAATTTTGTATGACAGCAAAAGCCAGTTCCTATGAAAAGGCAGGTGTTCTTTGTGGGTGCACACGCTCACCAAATGTGCTTAGGGGCCAGGGGCCTCTGCAGTTGTGTTCCAAGCCTCTAGCACTGAGGCCAGGGTATGGTGCCCAGAGCCTGGACGACTGGGCAGGGCAGGTACCACGCTACTTATTACTCATCAACTTCCCCGTAGAAAATCAAACGTTTGTAACGTGAGGACAACTCGGCGAGGTCCAGCCTCTTGCAGGGCCAAAGTGCCTCAAGACACCAGTGGGACACAAAGCCCACCTTTTAGCCCCGTGCAGTCCTCCACCCGACAGCCCACCCGACTGCCTGGCGTGCCCCGGGGGCGGGGCTCGTGCGTCAGGACGCACGTGCGGTGCGCGAGCCCCGCCCCCGAGCCGGACCGCAGGTTTGAGCGCGTTTCCCCGGGAGACCGCCGAGATCGTGGCGCGCCATGGAGCCCCGGGTCGTGAAGCCACCAGGGCAGGATTTTATAGTGGAGCGTCTCAAAAGTCGGTACGGTCTCGGGGGCAGCTGCTCCGGACAGGTGAGGGCGCCTTCCCTCTGTCCGCGGTGGTCTCCGGGTGTCGTTCGGCTGCTGTGAAGCCGCAGCCCAGCTCCGCCGGTGATTCGCCGGGGCGCGGGCCTCTCCGCGGGCAGGCCCCGAGGGCTCCGGGGTGCTCTGCGCCGGCGCGCGGACTTGGCCAAAGCCACCCAGGAAAGAGAAGCTTTCCCCCAAAAGAAAGCCACCCAGACCTTTTTGCAAGGTTCATGTCATCCAAAGCGTGATAGAGCACCGTGGAAAGTGTGGTTGAACTTTTGTTTGCAGTAACGTGGGTGAAGCAGGGGTAAAGGATTTAAATTGGAGGGGGGTGGTACCAGGGGTTGAACTAAGGGGCATTAACCACTGAGCCAGGTCCACAGCCCTGCCTTGTGTTTTATCTAGAGACAGGGTCTCACTGAGTCGCTTAACGACTCGCTTTTGCAGAAGCTGGCTTTGAACTCGAGATCCTCCTGCCACCGCGCCTGGCAACAATTTAATTTTGAAAAAAGACTTATTATTATGAAGTATTTTCAAACTTATAAAAAATAAAATTGCAAGAGTGGTGCGAAGAATTCTTGTAGCCTTCATTTGAATTCACCTGTTAACATTTTGCCACATTTGCTTTACCATTCTCTCCTCTCCTCTATACCTCCTCACGTGCACATTTTCCCGCAGGAGCTATTTGAGAGTAATTTGGTTGTATCATGTTCCTTTGCCCCTAAATAAATTTTTTCTTCCTGTGCATGAGGGCATTTTTAAAAATAACCCATATAGTATTTTCAGAAAACTTAGCATTTCTACAATAATACTGTGTAATCTGTAGTTCATACTCAAACTTTACCAATTCTGTTCTTGGCAGAAGTTTTTCTCCCCTGGTACAGAGCCAGTCTAAGAATGAACATGGCATTTGGTTGTTTCTGTTACCTTTCACAGGGAACAGGTTCCCAGTTTTTGCTTTTCTTAACATTGATGCTTTTGAAAAGACCACTGCTTATTAGAATGTCCCACAATTTTGGATGTGTCTGATGTATCCCTCCTGGTTAGATTCCCATTATACATTCCCAGCAGGAATAGGACATAACTGATGTGTGGGCTGCTTAGATGAATCAAGGGGTACATTATGGTGGTTTGTCCCGTTGATGATGTTAACTTGAATCATTTGGTTAGGATGGTGTCTTCTAGATTTCTCCACTTTAACCTTTATAATTTTTACCTTTATAATTAAACATAATTTGTGGGGAAATATATATGTTTTTTTTTCTTTTTCTTTTTTGTTGTTTTGGTACTGGAGATTGAACCTTGGGGTGCTTCACCACTGAGCCACATCCCAGCCCTTTTTATTTCTTGTTTTGAGACAGTCTCACTAAGTTGCTTATGGCCTCATAAAATTGCTAATGCTGGCCTTGAAATTGTGATCCACCTGAGTCTTCTGAATTACTGGTATGTACCACTGCGTTTGGCTGTGGGGAAATATTTTAAGACAGTAAATAGATTATTAGTATACAAATTAAGCATATCTTTTTTCTTTTTTTTTTAGTATGATTTTTCAAATTTTGATCAGGCTAAATATAAGACAAGATCTATAACTTCCCCAGGTAAGCTAATAAAATATTTTGCATATTTTTAGTTTTTAACAAATTCAATTTGAGAGACTTTTTTAAAAAATATTGTTTAGATTTGTAGTTAGTGCTAGATATCTTGTGATACCAAGATTTATTTTTTTCATTACCTCTGGTAATGAACTAATAGTAACCATAATTGCGGGGAAGGAGGTGGCAAATGTTTAAGGTGTCTTTAAAATTCAAATGTTTTGTTTTTAATTTTTTTTTTTTTAGTATAACAGTATGTCTATCATTGAAGATGTTAAGAATTAATCGGACTATGTTAGAAAAAGAAAACTAATAGCTACTTTTTAGACATAAACTTTTCTGAGTTGTTAGGATAGTAATTTAATAATCACTGTAGGAGGTATGTATCAAATAAATATACTTGGAAAAAATAATTATACTATGGGATTGAGTTGGTTGTAATAGTCTGAGATGTTAAGTCCGTTTGATGTATTCTAATGTTTCTCAGTTGATTGGGGGGCGGAGTTCTGAAAGATTTATCTGTTGGTAAATTAAGGTATTGAAGTCATCCACTATTATTGTATTGAGGCTGGCTGGTTTGAGGCTGGTCTCTCCCTATAAGTCCTGCAATTTGTTTTATAAAATTGGGTTCTATGACATTGGTACATCTGTATTTACAACGATTATATCATCTTGATGGATTATTCCTTTTATCAGAGTATAGGACCTTCTTTGTCTCTCATGACTGATTTGAGGTCAGTTTGTTGGATGTAAGCCTGACTACTCTTGCTTGCTTTAAGATTCCATTTGATGGGATTTACATTCTCCATCCTTTCATCTTCAGTTTATGAATGTCTTTGGTAGTGAAGTGGATTTCTTGCAATAGTAACTGAATGGGCCCCACTTTTTAATCCTATCAGCTAGTCTGTGTCTTTTTTTTTTAAGATGGACACAATATCTTTATTTATTTTATTTATCTTATGTGGTGCTGAGGATCGAACCCAGTGCCTCACATGTCCAAGGCAAGCGCTGTACCGCTGAGCTGAGCTACAACCCCAGTCCCTAGTCTGTGTCTTTTAATCAGATAATTCACATCATTTACATTAATAGTTATATTGAAACTGTATTGAAAGAAATATACTAGTTTCTTTCATTTGTTTTCTTTGGTTGAAAATTTTGTGTTCATTTCTTTCTTATTTATCTTAAGAGTTTTTGTTGATTTACTGATATAGTCATATTTGATTTTTGCATATCCCTCTTT